TCAGTGGAAGTATAAGCAATGGCGCTTACCGTTCCGATGAAAACGGCCGTTCCCTAGGGTGTAAAGTCCCCGTCCCCAAATCCTTGGGAAGTCGGGGAACGCGCATCGACCTCCAGTGGAGGTCGATGCGCTTTCCCGCCGTCCAGCCTCGCCTCCTCTCGGGTCTTCAAGCGAAATTTCTTCTTAGAAATGGAAAAGGCAGACGAGAACTTGGAAAGATCGGCTGGGAAAGTGAAGAATCTGAAAGTTTGAGTCCACGATCCCGCGATAAAATAGGCTCGGCTGCATGTGAACAAAGGAATACTTAAGACTTCAAATCACACACACATATCTCGTCAGAGACGTGTTGATAAACGATTCCTGAAATAAATTTAATATTATAATCGGAGATCCATCACGACGGAAACGAACCCACGAGGCAATTTCCTCGATCGCGCTGGATTTCGAGCCCGGCTATATCGGAGACACAGCTCCATGCATCACGAATGAAAATGCTCCAGCTCGAGGTGAAGCTTTGGAGACTTAGCTCCTCTCTGAGTGAAAGCTGGCAGTCAGTGTGAATAACGGGGAACTTTTGTCTGAACCTTAGAGCTTGTAATAATCGGAGTTTGCTGCGAGTCACGAAGTTTCCTTGTGGATGAATAAAACTTAAAAAAATTGATTTTAAATTTCGAATGAATTCAATTACACTTGTTCCTCTACGAGAGGTTGCGGAAGAAGGGAGCAGTGTTTAACACGGTTTTTCACGGTTCTCTTGATGTTTGCATTCCTCAGTCGGAGTATTTTCTCAGTCACATTTACAACTGAAAAGTCGACAGGGAGGATTTAGTTGGGAATAGTGGTCTTTTGCCGGGATTCAAATCGATTCATCAGTTTCCGCTTTGAGAGGCGCCCCCAACCGACGAGATCATGAAGATGGAGAAGTTTAAGGCTTTCCCGGCGACCCGTCCCGGTGGGATTCCATTTCGGGTCATCGAAGAACACGGGAGGGAAGTATCGGCACGATCAAGAATTGCATTCGAGCACGGCATTTTTCACGGGGAAGTGCTCGGGAATTTGAAATTCGAAATAAGCGAACGTCGTACAGATCTTTAACACTAGCGTAGAGAGTAGGAGGGAGAGGCCAGGGCTCCAGCCCCCCAACGCTGATCTAAATGCATCCCCAACTCCCCCCCCCCCCTCTCAGGAAAGTAATTTCTGCTGTTTGTGAGAGGCTAGAGAGACATCGGCCCCCCCTCCTCCTCCCCCCTTCGTTCTCTCAAAACCCCTCATGGGTGAAATCCTGGATAGGCCGCTGACCCTTGTGGAGGGGGACGAGATACGAGGAATTACAGACCATCGAATCTCAATTGCGTTCCGGGAAATACGATGGTGAGCATGGCGAAGGATCACATCCGATCATTTCCCTGAGATTCATCGAGGGAAACTGGCTCATTTGAGGGCAGAGAGCGATTCTTAATAGAAGTGTCGGAGCGGAGACCCTCGAGGCTCTCTCAAGGACTTCTCTTTGCGGTTTGCATCAACAATTTAGATGAAAGCCTCGAGTGGTCGGTCGACAACACGAAAATAAGTCATTCCATGAGTCCAGAAATCTCTTAAGGGCCCATGTCCCAAGGAACGTTCGATGGGGACGAGACAGGACAAACGAAAATTCTATTTACACAATTTTTTCTTATCCCTACGAGCACCAAACTGGGATCGAGAGTTTTGGGTCTCAGACGAAGGAGTCGAACATTGATTCCAATCCGAAAGGAAGGCCACTCGGCTCACCGCAACCCCTTCAATATCCAGAGAATTTCGGCACCTACAGTTATGCCTTTTCCATGCTACAAGGTAGGCCTATGATAAAACGATACCTCCTAGGCCCCTTCCCTGCATTTAGTGCAGCTATTTTCTCTCAAATTGATAGTCTATAAGCTATCTATCTATCTTATATCTTTCGTTTAGGGCACCCACGATATCATGCTGGGCAGGCCTATCACCCAAAGCCTTGGGTCTCGATTATCGTCATTAACATAATTGGTGGGAAGTGGACTCACGTTCCGTGACAGTTCAACCGAAGCATGTCCGTGTCCGTATTTGCATAGGTGATACAGACAGGAATATCCGGTCCCTCCTCGTGACACTTTTAATCCTCAAAGGCTTCGTTAAACGTCGCCTGTGTTCCTCTTCTCTGAGGAGCGAGTGAGACGTCCCCTTTGACCCTTTGACGCCGGACAGTGGCGTGCGGCTCCAGGGGGGAATGGGGGGACGACGACGACAGGCACGACGGATAATGACTTTAGCAGCCATGAAAGATCGAGATCAGACGCTGATGGCCTCCGAGCCCTCTTTGCGAAGTTTTGACAAGCGGGTGACAGCATAAAATTAATGAGCTACCATAAAACAGGCTATGCCAGCGTATAGCTAAGTAGTTGGACCGGGTAGACCGTACGCGGCAGACCGTTATTTTTGAACGCATGCAAATCTACTCTTCCTAAGCGACTGGTTGCGTCGTGCTTGCTCCTCTTTCAGCAGGTCTGAATGGGGCCACGCCCCCCCCCCCCCCCCCCCCCCCCCGGGCCCCCCCCCCACCCNGCACGGGGGAGAGCGGGCCCCCCCCCCCCCCCCCCCCCCCCCCCCATGGATCCGCTACAGTTCAAGAGACTTCCATGATGAACCATAGGAAAGGAAGAGAACTTTCCAACGTTTCAGAATCGGTCGTGATCCCGACATGGAAACTCGGGGGAGGGGGGAGTAGTTTTAGATGTCACAATTACTTTGAGTTGTTTAACCCTTAAATCCGCCGAAGCAAATAAACTTTTTCTAATGGAAGTTATACACATTTTAAATCTTGGCCACTCAAACATTCTGAGCGGAATGAACCTACTGCAAGACACTTTAATGTCTGTTCTGCTAAGAGAGCTGATTATATAAAACAATAAGATATGAAACAGTTCCACATGACGTTAAGCGGAAAAAATTTAAACTTGTTTACGAAAGAGGCGCATAGATGGCAGTAGAAGTTCGGCCGAGGCCAACATGGCTACCGCCTCGCTTCTGTCTGCTCTTAGACCTAAACTTAATAAGTTGTGATATGTGCATGGATTCGTTCCATCATTAACATTGAGCGTATGATTTCTTTGGTGTATCCAAGGAGGTGAGTAGATCCCTCTCATTGGATTAGTGTTTAGCTCATTTGATAGGCTAATGTTAGGTTACCAATGCTCTATGCCCTGTTATTCTCGTACGGTGCAGCCATGGCCCTGACTGGGAATTCTTCGCCAGACGCGCACATTTGCTTACCTATGCACGCGAAAGCTCAACCCATCTCTGTCATCCAAGCTTCGTCATATGATGACATGTACCCTGGGAAGGTGCTTGATTGAGCTTCTACGGTGTTTTTCATTTGCTTCAGATACTTGCTTGAGAAACGTCCCATGCACGAGTGTCGGAGGCAAATGAAAAATTGTCTTACTCAAGTGAAAAACTCTATTTACCCTGGTTCTCTCCATTTAATCCCATTTGTTTGGGTATTTGCTTTCCAATAATTGAGCATACTTGTATAAGGATCATGCTTAACCATATCTTCAAGGGGTAGGTTGTAGCTCACACCAAAATATGTTGTGCCTACTTTGTGCACCCTAGTGCACAATTAAGATTATCCCAGAGAGGAAGACTTCTTCCCATGCTTGCAACTACTCTTGATGGTTTTCCAGTGAAGAGTCAAATTTGGTCATAGTCAGACTCCCATTTATATTCAATGTGAGCCAAAAATCAGCCCTGTTTGACACATTCTCCACTGAAAATTCATAATTTATTTTGTACAGGTTACAGATCTCACAAGTGCATTCTATGATATTCTAGCAAGACTTACATACAGTTATCTTGTCTTCACTCACTATTTCATCTGTTGCCAATTAATTTAAAACAAATGTTGTCTAGTGCTGAGTTTTGAGTAAGCATGACCATTCTGGCTATAGAATGAAGACCTCATTTCATATTCTTTCCCTTTGTACTCCTTATATTGCTGAACCTTGTGAGCTCTTGTGTAGTTGGTGTACCATACACCTCACAATGGGGTAATGTCTACCCCCTGTGCCTTTTTCTGGGTATGCTATTCAATATGCTAATGTGGTAGCCACATTAGCAAGTGACAATTTGCAGGACTTAATCAGTTACCCATGCAACTTTTGTCACATCACCCATGTTTTCCCAAGAACTAGGCCCTTTGAAATATCAAGTCTCATTACTCTTGTAGAGACCTTTCTTTCTTGATGGGACTGATGCAGGTAAATGGTCAGGCAAAAGGTTCAGCCAAGACAGAGACAGAGTTATAGTGGAGCAGTCTTTGGGTCTGACTTTTTTAAAAGTTGAGTTTTGTGTCTTTTCAAGCACCTCCAAAACTAATGCATGGGGAAAGTCAATAAATCTGAAAGGTGATTTTAGGTAGAAAGAAGACCATCCATCTATGGTGGCCCTAGACAAACATTTGATCCTGTCCTCTAAGAATGCATGCACATCTGGTGCTTCTTTTGGTATCCTACCACCTTCCTTTCCTATAGTAGCAAGAGCTAGTAGCTTGATGGCTGGCTACCTAGATGTCAAGGCCAAATGGCACATTTTCATTAAGTTAATATTTTTTGGGAGCTCAGTGGTTTGGTATAGTCCATTATGAGTTTAGGCCCTACAAAGATGGAGTCCAGAAACTGGTAGGCAAGGGATAAGAGAATAACCAGAATATAGAAGTAGCCCAGGCTGATCTGGATATAGCCAGTTTCAAGAAAACCTGAAGTAGGCATTGGTTATGTTCAGCTAATTTGATTTTATAACCTTAACCCAAATTCATTTTTTGATGAACTTGTTAATATACCTTCCTGTAGGCCTAAGAAACACTATATTTCAATAGTACATATCATTGCCCAAGTTAAGCCTTGGCAGATGCTCTCACTTTTCTTCTAGCAAATAGGTCAGTCATCTGGGTGTATGCCCTGCTTAGGCCTTGCAGTTAGACTATCATAATGTTTTTAACTCCAACAGGTCCCATTGAAGCACACTCAGCCTGCTGTTGAATAAAATTGTTCCTCATTGTGGAATGAGCCTTGAACAGAGGCCTTACACTTTTCGCAAAGCTTGAAGTTGTCCATGAGGAATCAAAAATTTTCACATCTCATAAGCTCTACTTTAAATATCAGTCTTGATTAGGATCAGGAATAAAATTAGAGCCCAAACCATGATCGACCAAGATTATGAAAGGAGACTTCTACGGCAGCACAATGGGAAACTCTCAACTCCAACTCCAACAAAATCTCCTGTTCTATCAGCAAAATCTCGAACTCCAACCAAGTCTCCCTTTCTATCGGTCAGTAGCCCCTGAGGCAAATGCTAATATTTTAGTATATGATAGCTATTCAAGCAAATATTCTTCACATGCACTTATTCATATCCATCCTTGATTCTCAAGAGGTGAGACCTAGGCTGCTATGGTTCCACTATGAGTCCATATACCCATTTAATGCAAAAGCCATAATTTCCTATGGGCCTACTGAGGCCAGGAGAGCTAACATATCCTCCAGTCTAATAACATGCGTAAGTCTAAACTCTGATAGCATATGCACTCTTGTAGAATCGTGTGAACTCATTTCAGAAACTCTCTATAGAGAGGCCATGCCTTCAGTGGGACTCAGGGGTATCTAACATCTGCTAGCATTCTTGATTTACAAACCTTAAGCACTTGTTCATCTTGTTCTCAAATTGTGATTAGGATATTTTTGGAAAGAGAGACTCATTATGACATTTCATTTTGCTGTGTGTGACAGCCTGGTGGCAGTGGAGCAACCACATCATCCCCCCTTGCATCTCCCAGCAAGGATAAGTATGGTGATAGATTCATTCCTGTGAGGGCCAATGCCCGGTGGCACATTGATTTCAATCTTATAGAGGTGAGCCATATTCCTTTTCCAGTTCAGGTGGTACTATTCTTCATTGTTTGACTAAGCCATGTTATTGATGAAAGGCATTTGATTGGTTCACAATGATCTGAAGTATGTTAGTCATGGGAAGTGTTGAACAATGTCATGAGGGTCACTCTGGAAAAGTTGAACTATGCTATGAGGGTCATACCAATATATATATTTAGTAAATATTGCTGCATATATGACTTAAATAACTCAACCAGAATGGAGCTACCCTTTCTTGAACACTGAATTCTTGCCACCTTGCATCCAAAAAAGTGTTTGTGTTTCATATCAAAGCTTGTATATCACCAATATTCTATTGTACATTTCCAATTAGAGTGAAAGCCTATTAGTGTAGTCATGTATATGGATATAGAAAAATGCATTGAGATTGGATTTGCATGAATTGCAGGATGCCAACATTTGTGCATCAATTGATGCAGCATCTGTGATGCACATTTGCTTGCCATACTTGCAATTTTTTAATGAAAATGTTTGTTTTTAAAGGAGAACAAGTCTCCGACACAGAACAGGAAGACCCAGGATGCATCGATGGAAGGAAACCGAGATGCTCTTGTGTATTCCTGTCTCCTGAAGAATGAACTGCTTGGGATGGGGATATCCGACATCAGGGAGGATTGTGGGGAGAGGCAGGCCCTTTCCCCTGTTGAGTCTCGCAATCTCTTCAAGGTATGTTTATTGCATGGTTGCTTTGCACAATAAACCCAGTTTCAGAATTGAAACCCTCTTTTATGATAATATATTCCTAATTCTTATTTGGTGTGATTGTAATTGTTTTTTTTTATTATGTAAAAAGGACCTAGAACAGGCTGGAAGTAACTTGTGACTGAAAGGGTTAAGTGGCACATGGAAACATCAAGCAGACATTTTTGTGGACACCAGCAATTGCTGCTAGGAAGGCAGCCATTCATTTTCAGTAGGTCAGACTCTTTGGAGGAACTGCCATGTTCCCGAAGCAAGAAAGGAGGCTTGGAAGACATTCAATGAGAAAGTGGAATCTAACTACCACATTGCTGCCAGGCTTTTTGCAAAACCCTCCTGAAGGCTGCAGCTTGGCATGTGATGTGCTATGGGGATCAACAAAGACCGGAATGGGGAAGTGGTGGCTGGTGAAGCAGAAATGCTTCAATATGGAAGGAACATGTGGAAAAACCTTTAAACCCATGCCCAGTGAACTCCTTTCCAACCAATTTTACCTTGATCCAACAAAGTGGCAAGATTTTATGCCCTGGTATAGGTTGACCTAATAATATGCAGGGTTCATGTTAACTCGCTATGGTGAGTCCCTGACTCATATTTTCTTGGAGGGACTCATATTTGCAAAACATCCAAGTCTCTGGGACTCATTGCCAACCACCTGAACATGTTCCCACTGAGCTGAAGCTGGGTGCCAGGACTCAAGATTCAAAAAAGCTAGTGTGAACCCTGAATATGTTATGCTGGATGCTAATATGAAAATAGATTATCATCAGTTATTGTCCTATATTTTTCAAGGTATTAAAGAGCCCTCATGGCTTTATCATTGCAGCAGATATATCTGGTACCTGTAAGGACAGGCAGTTCCAGTTAACTGTATTGGTTCTTGAGAGATTAGAGGGTATTATCGATTCCCCTTTCTCTATTTTAAGGTGTTCAGTTATGTTGAAGAATTTCTCTGCAAATTGTTACATGTTCCAGTTGTTTATTTCTTCATTTCCTTAACTGTTTATTTATTTACATTCTAGTACCGGATTCAAAAGAGCAGTGTTCTGGATGAGCCAATGTCTCCATACTCCATCTGCCCTCTTAGTGCAAAAAGCCAAAAACTCCTACGCTCTCCTCGCAAGGCCACCCGCAAAATCTCCAAGATGCCCTTCAAGGCATGTTGCTTGATTCCTGTTCAAGAGAAGTCTTTGCAGAATAAGAGAAATAGAAAGCATTTTGTGTAAATGTCTATAATAAAAAAAGGTATGAGGGTGTGACTGAATTCATGAGCAAAAGTGGTCCTTCAAAGGACATTGTCACACTTGCCATCTTTCTGAATCTCTGCTCCCATATATCTCTTATAGAGATGCTGTTGCTGGCCTTATTTTTCAGAACTGTTGATTCCTTTTATGCAAAGGTTCATTCTTCATGACTGCTCTATCATTCAGGTCCTAGATGCACCAGAACTGCAGGATGACTTCTACCTGAACCTTGTGGATTGGTCATCTCAGAATGTACTGGCTGTGGGATTGGGCTGCTGTGTCTGGCTTTGGTCTGCTTGCACCTCCCAGGTCACCAAGTTGTGTGACCTCTCAGCGAGTGGAGATTCTGTCACTTCTGTGGCCTGGTGTGATCGAGTAAGTTTTGCCATTATCACCTTTCTAACTGGCTTCAGAAGGTAGTTCAACTAATGATGATTATGGAAGACTCACAACACTTCTTCCAAGATAAAGCAAAATCTAAGTTAGAGTTAGAAAATTCTATGCTCTCCTTTACAGCAAGTCCAAAAGGTATTAAATACCTTGTAGATCAGCAGTTCTCAATCTTTGTGCTCTTGGACCACCTATTTTTTTCATTCTGTTACACAGACCACCTCTAACCTAACTCAAGACACAAGACATATAGTGATGCAGTCTAAAAAAGGTAAAATAAATTTATTAGCTTTTAGCACTAAGCAGTGTCAGCAGAATGGCCTTCAATTGGAGGAGTGGGCCTGTTTCTATCATCACTCTCACTCTCTCAGTTGTTATTCTCAGAGAGTAACGAAGTGGGGGGAGAAGAGGAGTGAAGGGTTGAAGAACTAGGCTGCCGGGTATGGGAGAAAAAAAAAAAAGTGGGAATGCAGGAATGAAAGGAGGAGCCAGTCTGAGTCTGCATGAATGCATTGCCTGTCTACAGATATATTATGAGTGTAGAAAATGATGCTGATATAAAGACAAAATTGATTGGATAGGTGAAATGTTATTTATGCTGGATTAGGAAACAAAGGGATATTAATTAGAATAGGACTATAGGTTATTAATATTTTGTTTCATTCAGTAAAAAAATAGAATGCTGTGATTTCTGGATCATGCCCATAGACCACAGATTGAGAATCATTGTTATAGATCTTTCTTTGTGGGGGATTAGGAATTAGAATCAAAGAATGCAATTTCAATTAATGTGAATGCTGGATTGAATTTGAAAAGGAAATTATAATTTCTTCCTGCAGGTGACATTCAAATTTCTTTTCTATGTGCAAGCTCCTACCTTATCCAGCTTTCCACTTTTTATGTTAAGATTATGATCTTAACAGCATGGCTATTTGATGGCCATTTTCAGGACTGTTGAAGCAGAAGAAGAAATTCAAGAGGATTAAACCACAGGATTAAATGGAGGAAAAGTTTTTAAAAATTATTTCAGGTGAACCAAAATAAGAATTATCTCTGCCTCTTTTATTATCAGGAAGCAAATATTTCACTGAGTTTTATTACTTAATACCTGTGGTGTCTTGCATTTTTTCCAATTTTACCCTTTGTGTAATATTGCTTGACTTAACCCCTCTGATCATATTTGTTTGTCTTGAATAGGGTCACCTAGTGGCAGTAGGAACTCACAAAGGGCAGGTTCAGGTTTGGGATGTTGGTGCCACCAAGATGGTGGGCCTTCTGGAGGGTCACTCTGCACGTGTTGGAGCCTTGGCCTGGAATGGTGAGGCCTTGGCCTCTGGATCACGAGATCGGTTAATCCTTCATCGTGACACCCGTTCACCACCCACACTGGCCGAGCGGCGCCTTGTTGGACACCGACAGGAGGTAAGTCTTCTTGCTTTGCCAGTCAGGGCACTGACTGGAAAATGTAGCTTATAATTGGAAAAAAAAAATTATTTGCTGGCTAAATACTCAGAAATTGAAAATGATCCAGTTCCTGTCTTGGGGGAAATGATGCTGCATTTGCTTCCAATGCCTAATTATTTTTAATTTGCCCCTCAGACTTCAAAAGGAATAGTGGTTGAGTTTTCAATGTGTAAATTTTGCAGTTTTGTCCCAACAAGTATGTCATTCCCTGTTGTTCTGCATGGTTTTGATGGAATAGGTGTGTGGCTTGAAGTGGTCCCCAGACAACCAATACCTTGCTTCAGGTGGAAATGATAACAAGCTGTTCATATGGAACCTTTCAGCCACCACTCCAGTCCAAACCTACAATGAACATGTGGCAGCTGTCAAGGGTAAGAGCCCTCATTATTGTTCATGACAGAAAGTAGTGTCTTTCAGGACAAAATAATATGTTGAAATGAAATTTGCCAGCTATCGCTTGGAGCCCACATCATCATGGACTTCTGGCAAGTGGAGGGGGGACTGCAGACCGGTGCATTCGTTTCTGGAACACTCTCACTGGTCAGCCAATGCAGTGCATGGACACTGGATCCCAAGTGTGCAACTTGGCCTGGTCTAAGCATGCTTCTGAATTGGTACATCATCTCTTTCGTTCTGTCTTGGAGGAATGGTGGGGTCAAAGTGGTAGATTTGGAAGAACATTAATGCTGATGTCTGTCTTGCAGGTGAGCACTCATGGGTATTCACAAAATCAAATCCTAGTGTGGAAGTATCCAAGCCTAGTTCAGGTGGCGAAGCTAACAGGACACACATATCGAGTCCTTTACCTTGCCATGTCCCCTGATGGGGAATCCATCGTCACAGGGGCCGGTGATGAAACTCTCCGGTTCTGGAATGTCTTTTCCAAAGCTAGGTCCCAAAAGGTATGTGTTTCCAAAGGGGGTTTTTCATAATTTCAGGAAGGTAGTCCCAAATAAATGAAGAAGAGAGAAAAAATGGTATATGTTTTCATGGCATTTCATAGAAATTGAGATAGAATTAAGTCCTTGTTGGTTCATTCTTTTTAGTGGGCTTGTTAAGTAGATAGAGCTGACCATGGAGTGAATCACTTAATGCATGAATAATATTGACCCTGTTGGTAAGCTACAGAAAGAGTGAATGATTTAATAGCAAAAAACAAACCTGATGCATCAGTAATGGTATTGGTAGTCGGCCTTATGACAAGGCAGGTGGTTTACTGATGGCAGGGATTTGCACAGTCATATTCAAACACCTGCTTTTGTGTTTCATGATCAGATGGGTCTCCTCCTGTTGAAATAGCAGTTTGGGTTCACTTTTCACATTTAGTCAAATTTCTCTCATCCAGGCCTGTTTTAGAGTAAAGATATGTTAAAGTTCATTTGTTTGATCTGTGTTGTTACTAAATCCTCCTGAATTTTCTTGCAGGAAGCCAAATCTGCCCTGAATCTGTTTACAAATATCCGTTGATCCGTGATGGCCTCTTCCCGAGCAGAAATTGCAGTGCATGAATAAGCCTGCTCCCAAGGAACCAATCCTTTATGCATCATTTCTCTGCATTCAATTATCGTGAATTTTGTATTTGTGCTTTATTCCTTTTTTTTTGTACGAGGGTTTTTCTCTTGCTCTTGGTGATGAAGAGAAGTTGTAATTCAGAAAATGACTGTTGCTGAATGTTGAAGGATTAGGAGTTTGGTGCATGTTGAAGGATTAGGATTTCTTGGTTCATCTTTATGTGTGATGTCATTCCTTTCACTGTGCGTTCTTTCTTTATGAAAATAAATATTTATATTGAAGCATGATGAGCCTGTGCGCTTGCCTGATCACTTGATGCCAAGCTTTACGAGTTGTCATGAAGAAGCTGTTTGCTACAAAAAAACCTCCACTATTGTTTTGGCACTGGAGCAAACTGACTCCTGGAGGGCATTAGAAGCCTTCACGTTGCCTCCACTGTTTTTCAGACCTGTTAGAATCTCCAAGTTGAAAGCTAAATTGCATCATTTTGGAAAGTTCCAAAATTCAGAAACTCAGTTTTCTTTTTCTTTATTTCTTTAATACATGTATGTGCTGGTGGAACATAAATTGCTAATTGATTTTTGGAGTGGAACAAAAGATGAAGTCTCGAAGAGAAAGAAACTCTTAATGTATTGCACCTCCAATCCAACAGTTTGCAATTAACCATCTTCTTCAAGATGTATGTATTATTATTGTGCGATGGGTACAGATAGTTCAAGTTCCCTACGTAGAAGTATATATTTAACCAATATCTGCCGAGAGCGAAAGCAGCAACATCATCTTATCTAAATCGTGCTTCATTGCATGTTAAATGTATGTACAGGCTATAAGACACTCCAGGTTTCTTGAATTTGTTAATATACTAAAGGAAAGTCTTGAAGAAATGGTCCATGCACAACTCTTTGTGATTCAGACTCGATGACCTAGCCCATGAAATGATGTCACGATCATATCTTGGACCGAAAAGTGGATTATCTTTCAGTTGCCTTTCTTGACCTGAAATTAAATGAAATTCATCCTATTTTCAGCGCTTTCCTTAGATATGGAAGACTCAGAGCTGGAAGGTTTGCGAGCCAAGCGGATGGCCGAGCTGCAGGCGAGCCAGCAAGGCGGGAACACGGAAAAAGACCGCGCCGAGAAGGCCAAAGAGGCGGAGCTGGCTAAAAACAGCATCCTGTCGCAGATCCTGGACCAAGGCGCGAGAGCGCGTCTCAGCACTCTCATGATCGCCAAGCCCGAGAAAGGCCAGATGGTCGAAAACATGCTTCTCAACATGGCGAGAATGGGTCAGCTCGGAGGGAAATTAAACGAGGAGCAGCTGATCGGACTTCTGGAGCGGGTGAGTGAGCGGACCACGACGAAAACGACGGTCAAGTTCGATCGACGTCGAGCCGCCCTCGACGACGACGACATGTGATGCGTAAATCATGAGGACTCGACGTGGCCTCGTGTACGATTGGCTAGTGAGATTTTCCCGTGCGGCCGCTATGCGTGTCTCGAGATGAGAATTTCTTATATGGCCTTGTGCTTCTTTTAAACGGAATTTTGTATGCCGCGAGGCCACCAGCATGTGCTCAGTGGAATGTTTGTCACGTGCGTTTGTTTCTTAATTTTTCTCTGAATGACTAAGGTGCTCATTACGGAGAATGGGAGAAACCCTCCATTGTACATATTCAACGTCTTTTCCATTAAACAGTTGCTTCTCTAATAATAATCCTTGGTTTTAATACGAGCTGATGTCTGTCCATAGGCAGAACTCTGGCGTTCAGATGAGACAATATCCCGGTGGAACATCGGAACGTTGGGTCGTGAGAATTTTGAGTTAATTCCGGTCTTGCACATCTTTCTAACTGCCTCGCCAGCAGTACAATAAGTATTCTTCTGCAATAAGTATTGTTTGAATTTAAATAATAATATAAAAAAAACTCGATTTTTCTCTGGAACGATTAGACTAATTGCAGATTTTCCTTGGTAAGTTTTATTTTGCTCAGAAAATACTTAGCTGGATTCCTTTCCATTATTCATTATTGCGAGACGTCGAGCATCACCCATCTACGGCATGGTGGAACGCTGAAACTCGTAACTTGAGTCGAGTTGCGTTCAATAAGAACCACTTTTCCCCTTCCATGAGGAAATCATGGGGCTAGTAAAATCGAAGAGCTTACAAAAAGCAGAAGGGAATGGAAAGACAATCCCCCCTCGTCCGTCCTTGCATCGCAGATCAACGAAAGGGAAAGACTTCGGTACTCCATCGAACGATCCTTCTCACTACTCTTACCGGGATTTCGCCCTTAGTGGAAGATCACCGAGCCACGGTAATTAGATCCCAGCGAGAAAGCAGCTGGACGGCACGGGGGAATCCGCGTCGCAGTCCTCGAGGGGATCTGAAGCCCCCTGCGTCCCCCCCCCCCACAGGTCGCAGGTTTTCATACCGAAAACGCCTTCGTGCCTTGGATGCGTCGCGATCGTCTCCGTTGGAAGGTTTCGCCGGAGCGCCTCTTCGACGAAGACTGACGTCAGCAGCGGTTCGCACGAATCTCATTTATGAAACCCTGGAAATGATTAGGGAAAACCCACTTCATTCTTCCTTGCTTAGTTTTCAGTGAGGAAAATCCCCGAAATCCAAGTTTATATTGGATTCCGCATCGCATCCGATCGTGTTCTCCGACTCTGCAATTAAGCATACGTCGAATGCATGAACTTCGTCGGTTTCTCATCCAGATCAAAATCCGAGAGTTTCGAAGGAAGCGACCGCGAAACTCGTCCGAGTCGATCGCGTTTTAGCGAGGCGATGCGTCTGAAAGTCGTCGCGGATCATTTAGTCTTCCCGAGGATGCCGACGAGGACCGGAAGGTGTCGTTGGCCCGGTTTCAACTTTGGCGGCCGAATCTAGTTCGTGTACGAGAGTGACGTAAAGGGTCTTGGCAAAGACACGCGTAATCGGGTGAACGGAATTTCAACGATTCCGAGGAATTATATATCAGGGGTGTCGTCGTGTCGTCGACGTTGCGAAACGCGATCTCGATCGACAGATGGAGAAGGTGGTAAGATGAGGAACGAGGCGCAATTCCGCCCCTGCTCCGGGCCAATGACGAGGTCGTTAGTCGATCGATCATTCGCCGGAGTTCGGTTGGATCCGATCCAAAGGGACCGTACGTACTGGGTTCATCGACTTCTGGAATCGATCCCAACAGGTGGATCCTGTGTCTCTTGGGGCGCGGGGCACGTCGAAGCTCATTGCCCGACGTGCAACGGCTTTTAGAACCGAAGAAAGGAATGCCAGTCGACGGTGACGTGTTTTGGATCCCGAGCCAAGGAGGGCAGGGTGACAGAGGTCTGTCGAGGTCGATCCCCGAGGGTAACAAGAGTACTATGAGAAGGTTCCAGGAGGGGAAAATAAATCCCTGTGAGGAGGCGCTCGGCGCTTTCAAGGGATGCCAGGGGAAGGAGGAAGGGGAGGGAGGGGAAGGAGGAAGGGGAGAAGGGAAGGAGGAGGGGGGAGGAGGGAGGTGATGAAGACGTAATCGAAATTTCGCTCAACTGAACGACACGTGATGGACTTGATGCGACGTAAGATGCGAGCCGATGCTATCGACGTAAGATGTCACGATTTGTTTATTTAACTGTCTCGAGCGATGATGGCTTCATTTCGCTATCGCTCTCGTCTCAAAGACAATCCAAGCAACATATTCAGAGGTTCATATGTTTCGAGCGGAAGAGTCCATCAGCGGCTCCCTTAGAAGAAGGCCATCGTTTTGCACGAAAATATCCGCTCGAGTTGCGATTCCCGGGGATTTACTGTATCTAAAAATATGCGTAGAAGCAGAAGCCGCGATTTCTCGTCATTCCCCGAGGCAAAAATTGTTGCCAAGATCATAGGTTGGATGACGACTGCTCGCGTCGATGCTGAAACTATTGGCATGCGAAAAATAAATGCGAATCGTGACAAATGCATCCATAGGGGCACTTTTTCGGAACGTTTCGATATGCCATTTCCTTAATCGTAATGGAATTGAAGTTTCGCGCGTCTTTTGTCGGGGAATAGGCGACATTTTCTCATTGGAAGACCGTGAGAACTGAAGCTACCTGAAGCTGAAGTCGTCGATGGCAAAGAGGAACGCTTGGAATTCCAGGAAAGCGACTAGAATTTCAATTTCTGGAAATTGTTTTCGTCCGGAAGCTCATCCAACGGTCAAAACATCACGATTAGATACTGTTGCATCGTTTAAAACTTCCAAGTTTCAGCTGCAGCCTGAAAACGGCAAGGAAAAAACGTAGAACGTCCACACTGCATTCACGAATGCATTGGGAGGAAGCAATGAGAAGAGATCTCATCTCTCGAATACGCTGGGCGAGGTGGAAAAAGCAATCCGGATGGATGACGTCCCCGAGCTGGAATGAAGTGAGCGAGAGTCGATTCAAGAGAGGATGATTTATTCTTTTGGAGGATGCCTGCCAGAGCCTTGGAGTGCGAAAGCAGTGATGCTCACCCAGTGATGCCAGCGGTTCCGCGGGTCTGAAAGCAGTGATGCTCACCCAGTGATGCGAGCGGGTCTGCGGGTCTGCCATGGCGGCTGCGCGAGAGGGGAGGGTCCGTCCTCGCTCGGCGTCCTCGCTCAGTCGAGGGGATCCGGTCGGGGGGACGAGGATGGCCGAGTGCCGAGTTCCTTGATTAGTCGTCATCCTGGATCGCTGGGTGGTGGTGATCCGGCTCTTTTATGGACCTGCCTTAGAGGATTCCTTCGAGTACACGCTCTCCCTCCATGCCTGGGACCTGGAATTCTGCCGTGAGTCGATCGCTGCTTTCCCATGTGCGACAGACCGCGTCTGGGGGGAGTGAATGACTCAGAAGGGGGAGAAGAAAAACTCGATAAAAGCTGCATCGGGGTTTCTGCGATGTAAGTGCAGATCGCTCGAGCGTGTTTGTGAACTCGGTTGAGGCCTTTTCCCAGCTCGTTTTCGGGGGAGCCTTTCCTAAGGATTAACTCTGGAATGGCCTACGCGACTGACGCCGGTATTCGCTCAACCCAATTCTGTCGCTCCCGAATGAACGGTGAAGTTGTTCTTGGCACTGTTCGGGAACGAATCGAGGGTTGCACACACCTGACCCAAACACGGTTAACATGGGTTAACATATTGGAGGTGTCGGGTGTCCGGGAGAGTGAGAGATCGGGGGGCACATGCTTTAAACGTTTCCACGGTTTTTTTTTTCGTCCCATCTATTTTCGTGGGGAAAGGGAGAGGTGGGGGCCCACGTGATCGATGCCTTCGTTAACACGGGTGACCCAAGGGCAAAGGCAAGGAGGAATGACACGTGCCGTCACGTAACCCCACCCCTGCCATCCTTTGAGGCTGGCGGCATCCGGGCAAAAAAAAACGGCCTAGATTTGCCAAGTGGTGAGAGGTCGGGCGAGAAAAAAGGCGTGGAAGAGGCCTCCAACGCGTCATTCGTTACCCGAGCGGAAGTTGTCGAAAGCATTCCAGTTCATCCCGCGAAACGTGCAGTGCATTCCCCGCGACAGCGGATGCATCATCCTTTCTGTTTATGAGAGGTGAGCCGCCTGCCCCCACCCCATTCCACTCGGGGGACCCATCGGCTCCGCCACCCACCCAAACGCCATCCGAACCCAACCGCGTCCCTCCAACCCTCGACCCTCCCGGCACCCGACCCGCCTGCCTCCGACCAAAGAGAGCCTCGCATCCACGACCAAGAGCGATCCCCCTTTAACGCGAGAGGAAACATCCACCGAGTTCCCCCATGTGCATCGATTGAGCCCGATCGCGCAACTGCCACAGTCGTCCCCGTACTCTCGTGGCACCCTCCCGCCGCATGCACCTCGTGCCCTTCCCTCCTTCGCAGCAGAAGGTCACGACGGTCATCTCCATCCTCCCATCGGATCCGTTTCCATGGAAACGACTCTCCATCGCGGGAGGATCCCGCCGCCGGGTTCGCGAGGGCGAAGGTCCCGCGGAATCCTGGACGAGTACCAAGTGGGTCTTCTTATCGCTGCCATCATCCTCCACTCGATATTTCGGTCCTACTTCTCGTGCAAAAAAAATCTCGTGTTTATCCCCGCCTCGTGTTATTTTAGATGCGCTGTCGACGCCGAGGCCTGTATGGATAATCAAACATCGGTGATCGATCGCTTTATACCGACATAAAAAATGCATCTTTTTGGCGGGCGTCTAAACGGCATTTTCGAGAAGCCAAAAATCCCCCCAGCAAGAATCGCGGAATTCTCCTCGTCTTGAATTTCTCCCTTGGTCGCAAAACCGTTCCCACCCGGCCTCGCAACGGGACCAGGACCCGATGGAAGACGGGAGCGAGGATCGCTTTCATCCTCTTTCCGTGACTGGATCCATATATCCCTTGATGGTTCTTCTATCGCTGGATGGTTATCTGCACACACATTCAACCTCTTTCTGTCACGAATCGCCCGATGACGCATGCAGTCTTTTTCGTCACTCCGACTGATTTCCGGTCCGAGTCCCGTTTCATTTCCAAGTCCTTGCCCTTGCCCTTGCCCTTTCCATTGCCCTTGTTCTTGCCTAAAATCCTTGCTCTCGGCCTCGACCTGGTTTTTGCTTCGGCCCTCGTCCTCGTCCCGATTCCCGCCTCGGTGTCAGTCCTCGCGCATGCCCTTTGCCCCAAATCGAAATGCCATTAAATACGGGTGACATTCGTCCTGCTTTTTCCCAGATGCTTCGGGACATATGCCGCGTTCACACGTGAAACTCACCGCCTTTATCTTGGGAATTAGACTCAGGTCCATCGCGCTCCCCACGCGAGATACGACGAATCAACAATCCATATTTGTCTGGAAGACCATGGGAATGGGAAACACACACAAACACACGTGTCCACACACGACGACGTGGAAAAGAAAACAGCGGAATTTTCCTCTCAGCTCCGTGGGATGAATGCAGGTATGTGTGCATAGGTGCTTGTCATCGACGACGGTCGGTACCGGTACTCCCCAGTACCAATACTCGCCTCGAAGGAGGGAGAGGTGTCCCGTTACGCGATCCAGGTGTCCCATAACTCGATCCAGGTGTCCCATTACACGATTCACGTGACGAAGCCTTTCTCGTTCCTTTGTGACGACGCTCCTTCAGTTCCTCGCCGACGTCTGTGTTGGATGCAGTGCGACAAAGAAGGATTTTCCTTCTGGGAGCCAGGTCACGTGTCCAAGCACCTCCACGATTTTGTCCGAGCACCTCTGCGATTTTGTCCGAGCACCTCCGCGATTTTGTCCGAGCACCTCCGCGATTTTAGCGCATTCGCACTTTTTTTTCGTCGACCCTTTTGGGCGGCGAGTTGTTGCCTGGGTGGGCGTGCAGGAGTATTTTTGCAGAACGGTGTGGGAAAATTTGCGACGATGTAGGTATGGGATATAATACCTGTACTAATATCGTCCTCAAAAGAATGATACAAATTCAGTTTTAATGACTTAATAACATCCAGACATCACCCTGTTTGATTTTTTTCCCATGGGGTTCCATCAGAGTTTCCGCGCGTAAGCTCGAACACCTCGATTCGCGACGCCGAATTCGAGTCGCTGCGGCGAGCATCGCGCCAGAAATGCCAGAAAAAAAGCGGGAGGAGCTGAGTTACCGATCAGACATTTTACCATGTTGAAGTGACCCAATGAAACTCGATGATGCCGAGCCGCCTTCTCTCCTCCAAACAAAAGGACAATTATTAAATTTCCGCAAAAATGTTATTATTAAAAATAAATGGGAACGAGCCCTTTAGCGACGATCGGTCGTCCCGTGCCGATCGCGGCTTTTCCGCGGTTCGAGCGACGACGAGGCACGTTCGCGGACTGAGTCATCTCGTCGCGAGTCCGTCCCCATCGATAAGAGCCACATCCTATTTGCCATCCTCATCCTATTTGCCATTATCAGCCTATTTGTCATCCTGGCAACCATCGTACATGGAAGGCTTACCTTATCGCTGTCTTATCACTGTCTTATCGCTGCCTTGTCGCTGTCTTGTCGGTGATTCATCAGTGATTCATGATGTGATGAGTCCCGCGACTAACGAATCGTCCATGACTTAAGCCTAAACCTATTCGCCGTGGGTTCCTATCGAGGTCCGCTTAAGAAAACTTCTGGTTTTGCTTTATTTTATTATTTATTATTAATTAACTTAATTTATTATTCTACTTTACTTAATTTCTTTTAATGTGGAATGAGTTTTAGGAGAAATTTCGTTAGGAACTAGAAACCGGCCAAGCCTAGCTAGAACCGCGCGCAATCGAAGGCGGCTCCGTGAAGTTGTCATTTTTGGTAAGTTGTCATTCTGATTGCAGGTTGCCGATTCTGATGAAATTTGGGCGACACGTAGGGCGACTCAATTATGGTTTGTGTGTCAAGTTTTGAATAGTAAATGCCAAAAAACTGTGAGATTGGCATTTAATTTACTTTTCATCGCCAAAAAAGTAATTGTTCACTTTTTCTTTCAGCTTAAAATTTTTCGCAACTGACAAAAACAAGCAAGCAAAGAAACCGAACAAAAACAGATGCACCAAAAAAAAAAAAACGAGAGCACCCAATTTGGTTCATTTCGACTGAAAAGGTGCTCGATGAGCCCTCCATTCAGTTGAGCGCAAGCCTCTGTCCTGGGACGCCGCAGCTGAATGGCCCGGCCAATAAGCCTTCGAGGCGGTGCCCATGCATCATGCAGGGATGGAAGGTGAATGAATGAAGACCTCCCTTCCATCCCGGCTTAATATCGATATTTTCGACGGCACATTTCGTCGTTGGTCATCAGAAAGTAATTACAGCTCCTATAATTTTAGAGTCAGAAGGCTGAAATTCGGCATACAAACTCCAATTGTATTGCCCCATAAGCCTACCAATTTTAATTAGAATCAACCGCCTACAAAGATATTGACGACTCACCAAAAATGACTGACTTTTTTTTGGCCCACCCTGTGAATTTTTTTTTTTTTTTTTTTAAACGGAGAAGATGAGGGAATGCAGCGTAGAGTGTGACCGGAGCGGGATCGATAATCCCCGGATCCCGATCTCCTAAAAATAACACCAGCGAGAAGATTTGTTTTATCCTGTTTTATCGTTCCCTTCGAAGCACGAGAAGCACCTCTCTTCTCGATCCGGAAGTACTTCCAGCAGTACTTCCGGACCGAGGAAACGGCATGACCCTGCCCCCTCGAGAAACGAGTGGGCAACCCTGTTCACTCGATCGACTGGCAACCCTGTTCACTCGATCGAGTGGCAACCCTGTTCACCCGATCGAGTGGCAACCCTGTCAGTGCAGGGTTGCCTGCGACAAACCACGGAGAGAGCCGGAAGTTACAGGATACTCTCAACAGTGAACGCAGGGTTTAGATGGTTTTATCCTCTTGGACCCGGATACGCCCGAGCCCATGCGATAAGAAGCTGGTTAAGCCGAACCAGCTTCTTAACAAGCTTCTTATCGACGAGAAAATCGGGGGAAAAAAATCCGAGCTTTCAGGCCTTTCTGCCATTGTCGAACCCGTTTGCGGCGATGCTCGACGCGCGACCGAACCGCGAAGCCCGCGCGAATTCGCCCCGTTGCGCTTTGCATGCGGAGGTGCTCTACTCGACACTGTTGGAGGTGCTCCACGCGACCTGATCGACCCTCTTTCCCGCTTGGCAAAATCGCGCAAAATTCACACTTTCCAAAAATTTCCGCCTCATCGATATTGCTGACGCGTGCAAAAAAAAGTAATAAGTAAATAAATAAATAATTAAATTATAGACAGCAGGAAATTAATTCCAAGAGTGGCTCCGGCCTTGTAACAGAGATTCCATCCTCCATCCTGACCCGATTCGCAAAAACAGGACCGATTGAGTTCCTCGCAACATTTCCCTCGTCCGCCTCAGCTAACTCGAGTACTCGAAGTACTTACCATGGACTTGCGGTACTCGGCGCGGAGTTGGACGCCGTCCCGCGGGAAGCAAGTCTTCCTGGCCGCCGCCGCCCGCAGGTTTCAAAGCGTCACGTCAAAGGAGACGCCTGGTGCGAGTCCTCCCTTCACATCTGATTGACGTTCACATCTGATTGACGTTCGCATCTGATTGACGTTCGTATCTGATTGACGTTCGCATTTGAGGGACGTCGGGGTCGTGCCATCAGTCTTCTCTCATATATGCTTTTTTTATGTTATTTTGTGTGCCAAAGCGTGCCGTCGTCGGCTCGTCTTTCGGCTCTGACCTTCGAGGGCTTTCTGCAAATTCCTGTCAATTTGTGCTAATTTGTGCGATGTGAAGATCCGGACCTCCCAGTGGGATTTATTGACATTATGAAGCTTGATTTTGCTCGATGCCGTCATATTGGATGAGCCCAGGACGTTCGTCTGCCGACTTATTTATTTATTATTTATTACTAAATATAAATATTTATAGTATTATTGGTCATTTTTAGCGCGGACGCTCCGCGAAATCCTGGATTTTGCGATGCCGAATTCGCCGGAACGCGACCCTTTGCGACTCCTTCGGCAACCGTCATCGATGTCCTTCAGAACAAGGACCTAAAGGTCGGCGGAAACCTCGAACGATGATCGATCACCTGCCGATGCGAAAGGGTAAACAGTGTAAACAAAACTCCCCGAGATTGTTTACCCAGCCGGTACTTGCAAGTACTCAATCGTCCCGTGTTTTTGTTCTGTTTTTGGCCATCGAAACCTGTTTTTGGCCATCGAGAATTGCGGAGACGTAGGAATGACCTCTAGGTGCATCAAAGTTAATTTTATAAGTGCTTGCGACTCGATAACCCGCGAAGTTCATTTTAGCAATAAAAATTTTGCAATTTCATTTCGAATGCGAGAAATGTGCACCGAGCGGAAGCTCAATTCCTCGAAGAAATTGACGTTTTTTTAGGGGTTAACTCGAAGGCTTTTTTATTTTGTGGGTCGGAGTGAGCAGGGTTTTTCTTCTGCGATGAGCAAGGCGGGGATCCCATCGGGAAATGCAAGTAATTGACGCGATTAAATGCGAGTAATTGACAGGATATTCGCCTTTCGGCTCAAAAAACAGGAAGCCGACACGGTTCCCTCTGTCCCCGTGACAAATCGGTCCACTTCTCATCAATTACAATTCCATTCAAATGGGTGTGAGCGATGAACGCGGCTGTTGTGTGAACGATGAACGTGAATGTTGTGTGAACGATGAACGCGGCTGTTGTGTGAGCGATGAACGCGAATGTTGTGTGAACGATGAACGTGGTTTTTGCAGTGCGGGCGACGGGGGTCCTGGTGCTCCTGGGCGTGGGGGGGCTCGTCTGCCTCAGACTCATAAGGCGCTTCGCCGGCATCACCCCCCAGGGGGGAGGGGGACGAGGGGGGCGAGGGGTCCATGGGGGGCGAGGGGTCCGTGGAGGGCGAGGGGTCCGTGGGGATCGGAGGATGGCCGAGGAGGAAGTCGGCTTCGACGATTCCAAGATCGAGGTCTGTTTCGTCTTTCATCTCATTTGTTTTGCTTAAAAAATATCGAGGTGAGTCGTCCGCTTGGTTTATTGGATGAGTCATCCGCTTGGTTGATTGAGTGTGGTGCTTGTCTGTCGCTCCGTGAGGAAAATTATCAGGGATAATTATCGGTTATCCCAGAGGATGACAGATGACTACAAACCATTTCCAGTTTCTAACATTGTCTTTTTGCATGCTTAATCTTTGCTTAATGAGACGATGCTTCCATGCTGTCGGTATATTTTCCGCGTCCAACCGCAGGGATTCCCAAAACAATGCGCGGAATTTTGCACAGCTCCTCGGAAATTGCTCGGCGAAATTAAATTATTCGATCACTCAAGTGGCGTAGCCAGAATTTTGCCGACGGAGGGGCTAAGGATAACGGAGGAGGAGGGACTTCACTCCTCCGCTCCCCCGCCCCCTCCCCCTCCCCCTCCCCCTCCCCCTACCCCCCCGCCCCCCCTCCCCCTCCCCCTCCCCCTCCCCCTCCCCCTTCTTCGACAATAAACGCATCGCCCGCTAACGAAGAGTCCCGCGAAGTGCCAGGAACTCGTGTCGACGCCAGGGCGTCGATTAGCCCAGGATTAGCCCTCCATCTCGCCTCGTTAATTCCGCCAACTTTTGCACAGGTGCGAAAAATTAGCAGATAGCAACATCCACGCCTCTTCGCTTCAGGATTTCTTCGAGAAGTGGATTTTTGCACCAAAAAAAAGGTAAAATTTCTCGACAGGTCGGGCCGACCATACTTTCCTGCAAAAGTTTGGGTCTCGAAACCAATTAACTAATTAATTTAATTGGCAGGAGCTCCATAGTGGCAACTCAGCAGATCCGGTCAAGAATTTATTATTAATTTTTTGGTGAAGATTCCGGAAATTCCTGATTGTGGAATCTCGGGACGGATCCGGGACTGTCCCGGATGACCGAAGACGATCCGCGTTTTCGTTCGATGAGGTCCCTTCGTGCAACTAAAAAAGTATTATTTATTTATTTAATACATATCCACAAGGAATCGCGAATGATTAAAAAAAAAATACATTTTCCCCGTCCTGTCCCCTGGAAAAATTCCTCGCGGATTTCCTCGTCACGGAACGAAAGTGCAAAAAAACGAAGTGCAAGGAACAGATTGTAAGGAACGAAGTGCAAGGAACAGATTGTAAGGAACGAAGTGCAAGGAACGGAGCAGTTGTCACCTGCGATCTCATTTCTTGTCCTTCTGCACCTGCAGAGCGTCGCCTTCGCGTCGTCTGAGCGACGCCAGGCTGTCGTTGAAAGACACGAAAGTGGCTCTAAGACACGAAAGTCCCCACCGATCATCTTTCCCCGTCTCTCCCCGTCTCTCCCCGTCTCGCCTCGTCTCGCCCCGTCTCCATTCTTTCTCCCTCTCCGGATTTTTTTTGTTCTATTTACTCCTGCTATTCTCCTCGATGCGAATTCTTTGCAAATTCGGAGCGGGAAAACCGGAACGACGAATCGAAAATCGAATTTATATTTAGCACGGTGCATATTGCCACGTTTTTATTTAGCACGAAAGTTTTCGCCGCGGCATATCGTGCAAATTGCGGTCGTTACGTACAGTCCCATTCTTTTGTTACAATTTTTTTTTTCGAGATAACACTCTCGTTCTTGGAGATCTACTTGGAGATCGTCTCGTTCCTGCCGAGTTGGTGGTGATGAGACTGAAGCACTAATCATCTCCTGGTGGCAGGGGGTCACTAAGTCAACAGTTGAGCCAATCGAACCGGTTTAGCAAATCATGAGTAGTAAACAAGGTCAGTAAACAGGATTGACCAAGCATTAGACAGGATTGACTAAGCAGCGATCGAGCGGAAGACGAGAACGCGGAATCCGCCTGCTGAGAAGCTGGAACGACATCGTTACTCATCCGAGCCGTAACGAGGTGCTTCGTTATGTCCGGATCCGTCTTCGGCTCCCTTTGCTTCGTCGCCCGTCGCCGATCGGGAGAAGCGGCCTCGATCACCGCATTTCCCGCAAACGAGCGGACTCCAAGTACCCAAGTACCAAAAGTACCAAAGCGGGAAACCCAAGGAAGCAAAAACAAACAAGGTCACTGTTGAAATTCCCAATGCAACCTTGGCAGTCGACTCGTGGAGCCCTTTAGACTCCTAAGACCCTTGAGACTCTCCTCTTTGCCCGACTCGTTTCCGAGCCTCTCCGCTGGAGAAGAGATCTGAAAGGCTTCCGGTTGTTTGCTTAATTATTCTGTCTTCGGTCCATTCTGAGAGGATTCCGCGGAGGGGCTTGTAAGTAAGCCCTGCCTCTTGGGCCGAGGCCAGGGCCTTTTTTTTTCTCGTCTGCCAATTTTAGAGTCCCTTACCTTGCCCTCTCCTCCCTCTCCCTCTTCTCCCTCTCCCTCTTCGCCCCTCCCACCGAAGAGTAATTATATTGAACTCGGTTTCGAAAAATGCGACCTTCGCGTCTGCGGTGCAGTCCTTGACTTAAAAAAAAAAAATTTGACGTAAATTCAGTGAGTTGAGAGTCTCGACGTCGTCAAAAGTTTTCGCAAAGGTTCTCTTCGCCAAATTGCTGTCAGCCGTACCGCGATGAAAACTTTCCCCAATTAGTTGTTCCCGTTTTTCCCGTGGGCGTCTTCCACCTGTCGAGCCCACAGGGCGCCCCAAAATTCGTGGAACCGGACCGACCAATCAGGTGGAAGCACCGTGACGTCATGTTTCCCTTCGACCGGAACGCACGGGCCAGGTCGTCACGCCGGGTTGCCCCAAAAATGTTCCTCGCTTGCAAGCCAAATATCCGATGAATCAAGTCGGTGGCATCTGGTGGGGAAAGAAAAAACGTAACTCGGGTTCTTTCGGACCGATCCCCATGAAAATTTCGTAAAATCACATGCAATCGGTGGATGCGACATCGAGGAAATTTCCTTCTGATACCTCGCATTTTATTTTGTAGGCAGGCATGTGACGTTGAAATTTTTTTTTTAATACTCTCTATTTATGACTGAATCTGCATCTCACGTGAAAAGAAGCTAATCGCCTGCCGTTTGCTACCTCTCAATTCCGATAATGCATTCGGGATGCCTGAGGTGGCTTTTGCGGCCACCTTTTGTGGTGGCCACCACGACGGGCATCACGGCACACGATCTGTTTGTGCACAAAAGCTTCCGCAAAGTGAAATCGACCCAAAACCGGATTTTTCTCGCCACATAGCCGCCTCGACAAAAAAAGTCTCGTATGTCGTTTCGGAGCAACGCGAATTCCGGAATTCGAACAAACCAAATTCGCCAAAATCCAGATCGGTGTATCGGGCGAAGGTAAGGGGCATGGAGCTGGAGTGTTTATATTACCACTGTAGTAATAAGAAAGTACCGAGACGAGGAAGGTCCTCACAGTCCTATCGCACCAAAAAATTCCAATGAGTGAATGGTTATAATTACCTGTATTATGGTTATAATTACCTGTACAATTGCTTCAGTAGTAGGGTAAACACCCCAGTTTTTGGCCGCGCTGAAACAACTCCCATAGTTTGTGGACACCCTGTGCGCACACCGCGAAGCACTAGTAATAGGTCCTCGTACGGGAAGATGTTGATAGATTGCTTGAAAACTGCCGGATTAACTAATTATGCTGGATTTAAGCCTCACTGCCCAACAACTGGAGACCGGCCAGAAACCGGGGAGCTTACCCTATATAAGGAAGACGAGGCAGCAGGAAGTGGATCAGCTGATAAGAAAACATAAAAGCAAACCTCACACCACAGCGTTTCCATAAATTCAAAGCGGGGGGTGGGGAGAAAGAATCAAAATTGAAATGTATCCCCTCGCCTTCGGAAGGGAATTGCAGACGGCATCGCTCCAGGAAATTGTGCGGGATAAGCCAGAGCACGACAGGAAATGGAAAGGACGAGGGCGGCGTCCGTTTCCATCGGATCCGTTTTCTCACCCCTCAATCACGAGACTTTCATTCCTGAACTTCGCGCTTCATTCCGTCTGCTTCCCCTGCAAATTTCCATCACAATAGAAATGTTTCTTCTCCGTTCCTCACGGGTCCTTCCACCCGCGATCGCACAGACCCTCTTTAAGAAGAAAAAAAAAAAACTATAAGGTCAAATGAGCTTTTTGAAGCAAAAATCGCATAGGATTCTAATAAAATTCTTAGAGGATTCCTATAGAAATCTCATAGGATTCTTATCAAGATCTAATAAGAATTCTAAAGGATCAAATAAGAATCCTATAGGATCCTTCAGAAAAAAACTTTATTATTCCTATAAGAATCCTACTGTATTTTTATGTTTAAAATATCTCATAGAATCCTATAGGGTTTTTTTTTCCGCATGTACCATCACTCCAGCCAGCCAAAATTCCCTTTTGACATTGACAGAGCCACTACTTCGGGCCCGCCCTGGAGGACGATGCCTCGGACGCGGAGTCCCTCCCCGCCGACCCGGCTCCGCCCGACGGGCCGGGGGCGATGCGACTGCGACCAGGAAGGCCGACATCACTGCTGGACACGGTAAGCCGCTTAATCTGGATTATTAACAATTATTGGTGTGGATAAAAATGATTCCCTTATTAAGTGTGAGTCTGGCGCATGATTTAGTTTTAGAAAGATAAAATTGCAATAAAATGGTGAATGCTAAATACTATTAATAGGAATGTTCTGAAGACATCAGTCTCTGCTCTGACCTGGACATTTCCGAATTGGACTCGGAAAAGCGAAGCCCTGGAGTGACTCAAAATCTTCTTCCGAAGACTCGGATACTCTCTCAGGTAAGCCGATTGCGAATTAAGTGCGTTAGCGATGGCCGTTTGGCCGTCGGATGGCCGCGGTCGATTGCCGTCGTGACTGCGGTTGATTTGGGCAATATCGCTTCCCTTGCCGATTCCATGAGATGTCGCTTCACCAGATCCGGGAGGGGAAAGAGCGGTCGCCACCGGACGGAGCGGAATCGGACGAATGCGAGCTTCCGCCGTTGAAGACGATGGCGGAACCGGGCGTCGGACTGTACAAGTTCCACCAGCCGGGCCACCGAGACGAGTCGTTCGACAGCACGTGCTCCGAGATGAGCCTGGACGTGCCGCTGCGAGACGAGCTCGGTTCGAGCACGGCCGCTTACTTCAGCACGCTGGAGACGGAGCTGCACAACGTGAAGCAGTCGTGCTTCACGATGGACGCGAATCTGGTGACGCTGCAACACCTGCGACGCGCGAAGCCGAGCGGGATCGCCGCCAGCGACTCCTTCCCCAACTTCTACGGTCTGACCTGCTCGTCGCCGATCGAGGTGAAGGTCGCCGGGAACGCCGTCCAGAGCCCCGTGTCGAGCCAACAGGGCAGCTGCCTCAGCCTCGAATGGGATAACACGGGCGTGGAACCCCAAGCGGAAGACGCGGAGACGGCGTACCGACGAGCCCCGTTCTTGGTCGGGGAAGACGCACTGCTCCGCTTCGAAAGCTTCTCCCCTCTCAGGACCCCGGAATTCTTGGACGAGGATCTCTGGTCGGACGACTCGGTCGTCCTCAGTCCCGTTCGCAGCCGCTCTTGCAGCACTGGCTCCCTCCCCTCCAGGTCTGTCTCCCTTCCCTGGGGAAAAAGTTCCATGCTGATTTCTTATCCATAGGGGGGGGATTGGAGTATGAGGAGGAAAATAAAAAAAAAAGCATAGCTTTTCGTAAGAAGCTAATTGTTTCAGTCGTGGAGTTTGATGGGATATCCTTGATGGGTTTTCACCTTTTTTGTTCCTTTTTTTTTGCTTTCTACCTTTCCATCATCGATGCCCAATCCGTATTAACTTCTCCGATAAAACACTTTTCTCGACCTTTAACATGCTGCACGGCAGGAGGACATCACTGATCTCAGGTAGTCGATCCCACCCGATCGTGACTCCCTAGCATACGACGACGCGAAGACGACACTCACTCGCTCACGACTCTCTCCCGAACCCGCAGGGATTCTGGAGAAGAGCGAGAGCTTTCCCCAGATGCCAAAGAAGGACAGGGGCTACCTGTATCTCAGCTAGGCGACGACAGACGGAAACGGAAGAGGAGACGCGATCACACGCTCACCGAGCAGCCTTCGTCTTCCAGGTGACGTCCTCCCTCCTCCCCCGGGTGACGTCCTCCCTCCTCCCCAGGTGACGTCCTCCCTCCTCCCCAGGTGACGTCCTCCACCGTTGCGAGGTCACTGGAATCGCGTGAGGAACGCATCCGAACCGAGGATTCCGAAATGCGGGTGCTGTCAGATTCGAAGGCGGTTGGAATTGCACCGGTGCAGGGGTTCAAGTGCCACACTAGTCGCTTTGAAATGATCACAATTGGTGCTGCGGATCTACGATTTCGTTCCGACTCTTCGCAAAAGCAAAAAGATTTTTTTTCCTCTCCACGGTTCCGTGTTTTTCTTATTCGTTTTTAGAGAGGTGACGTTTGTAAAATAGAGAGTCACTTGTTCACCACCCGATCAATAAATATCTTATGGGTGTGCAGACCTTCGTTTTTCACTTGTCTTTCGTGTGAAAATTAAGCGAACCTGCTCTGCACGTGTGATGCTGCATGATTAATGGAAACCTGGAGGGTGAGGGAGGACAACATTGTCCTCGAGGATTCTCTCGTTTTCATCATTCTGTTCTCCTCGGGTTCTTATTAATGCTTCGAGTTTACGCATTTCCGAAAATCTTTGTGTTCCCGGATATAAGTTTGTTCCCCATTATCACATTCCTTTTATGTGTTCTTGTGATCAGTTGTACTGATAAATGATGTCATCATGTGATATTCGAACATCCTTCCCACCGAGTCCAATATTATTTGCGTTCCCGATTCGAGGCAAGAACAAGAAAACCCAGTCGCTAGAAAACTTTCTTTTCTCCCCAAGCGTCACAGTCGGCCTACGGAAGAAGTCGTTCCTTCCTCTGCCCAAGGCATGTTGCCAGTCGAAAAGCTAAACACGACAGGAGAAGATACTAAAATGAATTTTTAAAACCGATTTAATCAGAGGACATTCCGGCACTCCTTCCACGCCTGGAGACGCGCATGAAATTCCGCATCGACACTTCAGGTACGTTTCACTGACCTGTTGTGATTCCATTGCAGAAAAGCTTAGACCCACGGACAGCGAGCCTCTGCCCTCTAAACGTCCAGACCTTCCCCGATCCTTTTAATTTTTTCTGCGCAATTTCGGATCTATTTGCTTGGGATCCTTCCCCGCGACAACTAGGACGTTTCCGGGGAGGGGGAGTTCAATTTCCTCCTCATTCTGAAAGATCCTTCCCCCTCATCTTCTATTTGTGTCACTTTCCCCTCCTCTCAAATTTTGTGGCCAAGCATCCCTACTGAAACGTATTAAACTGAGTACATACTTTTTTTGGGCAGCATGAATCGCACTAATGGGTCTTGTACTACGAAATCTCACGAAGGAAGTGCAGATGTTGGACTGTAAACCTGCGAAGGATCACGAAAATTGCCTACGACAGCTGGACGCAGCATGCCGTCCAGCTAAAAGCCTGTGTTGTGCCGCCCGGTTCTGTCGTACCGATGCGAACACTGGAAGTCGTCTGACTCGATGGATTTCTAACATTCTTTCAAACTGACAGGAGTTGGGACGACGGCTTCGGCAAATGTAACATTTACGAAGGACCTCGACAAGCATTCAGAGGTGCAACAACACCACGAACTCTATCATGGATTCTCGGCCTTCTCGATTCTGTCCAAGCGTTTTTTTTTTTTTTACTGAAGCCCAGCGCGGGTCCGGAGCTTCACGTAAAAAAAAAAACACTTTTGACGACTGACGCATGACCTACGAGGTCCCCCCAGAGTTCGTCAGGGGGTCGCTGGATGGAGATATTATGTTTTTATTATGAAGCATTTCGATGATGTTAGTAGAGAAGTTTAAGTCCTTGTTGCAAGGAACCAGATGAATCCCTTTTTCTTTCTTTTCCTCCCCCTCCTTTTTGACACGACCTTCCGAATGTATTCGTCAGGAATTGTTAGTTGCCCTTGAGAATTGAAAGGATGACATTTCCCCCCCCTTGGATTTATCCTGTCGGTGTTCTTCACAGGTCTTGGTGAATGGCCTAGGCGACCTTGAGAGCGATCTCTCCCCCGTGAGGCTTTCTTCTTCTTACTAAAGCCGTCTGCAGACAATCGAGTTCGCCCGCAGCCCGAGGACGACCGACCGATCGCATTTCTCTTCCCACGTTCATCATAGGAGTTTCTTTAAGGCAGTGTCCATGGCGCTATACAAATGAGATAGTTCTCAACAAATTGTGCTTCTAGCAATCGTAACGAGAGCCGTAGCCCTAAAAACATTTCAAGGTCTCAAGAATGTAGAATTCAGAGTCCTTAAGTACTGCAGATTCCAAGTTTTAGTGATCTGTTCAATGTCATACAGAAACACAGAACTCGAGCGATACCCCATTCAACAACATTCTGAAGCATCATTCCACGCAGACAGCTCAGGGTGAAAAGAGGAAGATCTCGCTTTTCCACTCGTATCCAACAATCGGCCTGCTAGATCAGTCGATGACGTGAAGCTCTCGGACCCGCGCTAGACCCACGGACCGCGAGCTTCTGCCCTCTAAACGTCCAGACCTTCCCCTGTCCTTCGCTTTTTTCTGCGCAATTTCCGGTCTATTTGCTTGGGTCCTCCACCGTGACAACTAAGACGTTTCCGGGTGGAGGGGAGGGGAGTGGGGTTCAATTTCCTCATCATTCTGAAAGGTCCTTCCCCTCTTCTTCTATTTGTGTCACTTCCCACCCTCCCCTCTCTCAAATTTCGTGTCCTACTGAAACGTATTAAACTGAGCTCATACTTGTTCTGGGCGTCGCACTGTAAATGCATCTTGTACTACGATATGTCATGAAAGAAGTGCAACTGCTGGACTGCAACGCTGCGACGCATCAAGAAAATTGCCCCCGACAGCCAGATGGAGCATGCTGTCCGACAAAAAAGCCTGTCTTGTGCCGCCCGGCTCTGTTCTAACGGATGCGATCACTCGAAGTCGTCCGCCTCGATGGATTCCTATCAGTCTTTCAAGCTGACGGGAGTTGGGGCTACGGCTTCGGCGAGTTTAACATCTAAGAAGTTTATTTCTGGGATTCAGACGTGCATAAACACTCTAAAGTCTACTATGGATTCTCGAGCTTCTCGATTCTGCCAGTGTTTTTTTTATAATGCCCAGCGCGGGTCCCGAGCTCTACGTCATCGACTGATCTAGCTAGCTGATTGGTGGATGCGAATGAAAAGCGACCTGCTGATTGGTGGAAAGCAATCTCTTCCTCATTTCGCGTGGAGCAGTCTGCCTGGAATGATGCCTGCAGAATGTTGTTGAATGGGGTATCGCTCGAGTCCTGTGTGACTGTATGACATTGAACAAATCACAAAAACCTGGAATCCGCCGGACTTAGAATCCAACTTTCTTGAGACTTTGAAATGTTTTTAGGCTTACGGCTCTCATTACAATTGCTGGAAGCACAATCATTTGAGAATTATCTCATTTGTCTAGCGCATAGACACTGCCTTAAAGAAACGCCTACGACGATGGAGTGACATCACGCTGAGAGAGTTGTGATCGGTCGGTCGTCCTCGGGCTGCGGGCGATCTCAACGGCCTGCAGAGTGCCGAGTGCCCGTAGGGTGAGCTCGCTCATCTCTTCAGCATAGTTCTTGTTCCGTTCCTTCTGTCAATGCCGGTCCATGATTCTTGAGTGAAGTACGTGAGCCAAGCGAAAAACGGTTAGGATCTCCCTCCCCAACCGTCGAAAATTGCTAATCGATTTGCTTGCCCGTGACGCCATCGACTCGGTTCGTTACCCCGAATCGCTCAGCTGCAACCGACCACTCATTTTGTTCGCTTTCTCAAAGGAATCGGTCTCTCTTCAAAATCAGATTGATTTTCAGCTTCGGAGGCCGTTGAATTTATGGAACGATTGCTCGAAGCGGTGAAGGGAAAGACGAAGTTAGTTTGGTTGGAAGTCAATAAGTTTTCAGTCTCGACACCGATAAACTCATTTTACCTCGTCACGTGACCTTCCGGGTTTTCGTACTCTCGATTGCGAAAGCCCCTGATCATCAGTCTGGGGTGAGCTCTGGAAGTAGTTTATAGATAGACCAGAGGAATCTCAGCGAAGATCGCCAAAGAGTCGCATGCTATTTTTCGAATCGGCAAAGGCCACTCGGAACATTTTTTTTATGTAGCTGCGGCCGAAGGACTGGAGTAATCAAATATATTGTTCTTCGTTGGGTTCCAGCTTTCTATTCGAGCGAATGATTAAAGAGCCATTATTTTTTATAATTTCAATTCATTTGATTGAGGCATCGTTTCTACCTGCTTTCAAACATGTACGGCTGAGCCCTTTATTAATAGTGCAACCATTTTTATTTCATGGAACCCTTGTGGATTTCGTTCATATCTTCCGTTTGGATTGAAGCCATTGAGCCGGGTTGGAAACCTCTAGCCAGGCTTATTACAGCTTCAAATGCGCGAACCCCTCGACCTCTCCTCCCAAATTCGTCCTTGGAGTCCGTGCCCAGCGCATTAAGTCTTTTCTTGGCTTTCGGATTGACAATTTAAAAGAACACGAGTCTGATACGTGCGAGTTGCATACCGATCGAGTGCCCCAACTGCTTAACCCTGAATTCATTAAAAAGTTGAAAGCGGAGGGACTCGATCTGTTTGCATCGTGGCTTCGCTGCTCTATTCGAATTCTTGGGATTAGCAACGTACGTACACATATTTTCGAGATCTCCTTGATACAGTGACGGTCTTGAAGGCCTGGTCTCGTCAGACTACCCTCCCGGAGCACCGAATCCGGTACGTCGTAGTACTGGCTCGGTCCGTTCTTCAGTCCGCAGACAGGATGCCGACATCCTGATTAATTGTGGCCATGCTGGAGGCCAGGGTCAGGGTGAACTAGAAAAAAAAAACTCGCGAGGTCGGATAGGTTACCTCAAATAATCTCCAATGTAGATAATAATGATTAATGCAGTGTTGGGTTGTCAACAACAACCAAACACAGTTTTCCTGCCAGACCAATCCGGCCCTCCGTAAAACAGGGAAGGTTACTGCGAGAAAGTTATAACGAAACATTTTTCAGGCACCAGCAATGACCATTGAGACACATACAATGGAGATCATCTGCACGCGAAAGCAGTAGCAGTACCCAAGCTGGAGGCAAGTCTCTGTAGCCCTTAAACTTAAGTGGAGTTCCCACTGTTAAGGATTAGGCGAAATGGGGGGACCAGTGTACGGTTGCGCTCGCGAGGGCCGTTTAGACGAAGCCTGTGAGAGACGCGACCGCGAGAAGGAACGGTAATTCGGCACAAAGGAATTAAGTGAGTGGAACACTAGGGCTAGTCAGGCTCACCAGGTTCTACCTCCTTAGTTGGTGTGCACTATTCCTAGGTGACTAATTCTTGAACAACTCCTTTCAAAGTACAGTGGAGGACATTTCCGAATGCAAATACGGGGGTGGTGCAGGTGGAATCATCCCACTCTCCGAACATCAGGTATGGGCATAGAAACAGCGACCTCTCTTACTGCAATGAATTACGCGGCGCAAGAGGTGCCATCTCGTGTCGACCAAGGAAAGACATTCTTTGACCTGGGCTATGAATTGTGAGGAAAAGTATGAGTACAACTATACAGTCGTCCCTCGCCACTTCGCGCTTCGACTTTCGCGGCTTCACTCTATGGCGGTTTTTTCAAATACCTGTATATTGGGTAATACGAGTGTAATGGTGACTAAAGAGTGTTATTTCATGTCTAGAATACTCGGCCAATGCTCACCGCAGGCCCGCTTTAGCCTAAACCCAACCAATATGGCTTCAAAATGCACCCGTTTTCCTATGCTACTCCTATGGCCGCGCCATCTCCAGTTCTATTTCTTAGCTCAGTGGACCTGGGCTATGAATCGTGAGGAAAAGTATGAGTACAACTATATACAATTGAAAGACAATCTCATCCATTTTGTACAGATCGTGACAATATGACAGGGTTTGAGTATAGTCGTTAAAGTAGAATCCTCCATTTTGCCTTAGACTGCCTCTTCGGCCTTCGAAGCGCTACATGAAAGTTTAAACCCCTCGAGAACATGCATCCCCATTCTTTCCATCTTCCACCATTCCCCCTGGACGATGCCACGCGCGGCTTCGGTAACACGTCATAGAAAAGCAATTTCCTGACGGAAATGGACTCTGCACACAGGGCTAAACGATTTTGCAGGAGCCGCTTATTTACGGGACGTATTTACATTCACCGTAAAAACGAGGTGTCACTAAGGAGTCGAGCGATCTCGATGAAATTACACGAACTCATATTAGCGTGCCATGAAATCCAAAAGTTTCGAGGGCGGGGGATAAATTCAGCGAAAACTTGCCAAGCACTCCAATTCCGATGGGGACGAGAGGGTCGTATTAATCGCTCAAAACTGTAAAAAGAATTTAAAAAAGCCTTCGTAATTGAGCCATTGTTGGGAGTGTACCGAATTCACCGAAAGTAATTTCAACGAGTTCGAGCATTTGATCAGTGTACACGAATGGGGACGGTACGCATCAACGTTCCTCAGCGAGCAAGCAGCTTTCGTTGATGCCAGGGCACAACGCAGCTAAAAACAGCCTTCAGCTCACGCGGGAAGTGCCTAATCGATTAAGAGGTATGTCTTTCTGAGGAGAAAGGGAATAGCTTTAACCCTTCGTGCAATTTCACACGATAGGCGATGAAAGTGCTGAGGGCATTTGAGTCGAGATTGAATCTTAGCGAGTGTATATGCACGACTCGGTACACTATGAATCGATTGGGCGTCGATCTTCTTTATTCAACCAAACAAACTTGCATGGTTTCAAAGAGACGCCACTTCATTTACCATGAAGACGAAACGAGAGACACCGACTACAGTTCCACCCGTCACTTTGAAACGAAAAGATCACCCACAACCAGGATACGGATCTTCCCTATTCTTCCTCATGAGGAATTGGATCTTCCTGGTCATGTCCTCGTCGTAAATTGCCTTGGCCCGCTCGTAGTTGATGCGGCGGCGGAACTGTGGGAAACGGCAGGGATCCGAATTCATGACGAATGAAAACAGTATTGATAAAATATAAATTAAAAAATGTTCGCAGTGCATGGCAATAATGAACTCCACGCCTGCGAAAGGCATAAAAGTGAAATCGTGTAAATCGGGCGCGGAGAAAAAAAGGCGGCGTCGTTAAAATGTTTAAATTAAAAAATCGGTAAGCTATAGCTCATACGTTCGTTCCATTAGGTACGCATCAGCGTAAACTTCGTCTACAACTTACACCCCCCCCCCCCCGAACTTCCCTTAGGGCAAGCGAGGCAACCAAAGTTCGCCAAAAAAATTACCACTCTCCCAAGGAGGCTCACTGGAACTGATGCACGGTGCGTCCTTGCGCCAAGACGACAGCCTTCAGCTGCGGTTCCCATTCAGGAATCGCTCTTCCGATCAAGTCGATGAAAGAATTTCTGTAGAAGACAATGCGCGGGTGTTGAAACATGCATCATTTCAACAACGATCGATTTCTTGATCTAAATTCAAACAACGGCGCATTCATTTCTCCGCACCCTGTCTTTGAATCCCATTAGATCCACATTCTGTAAAAGACTCTCTGAAATGCACCTGTGATGGTTTCTCGTATCGTCGTGTCCGCCGATATTGGTCAAAGAGTCCTTCTGATCCTAATATCCTGGAAAGATAATGGAACCGTACAGGTTATGTTTGCTATTCGAGCCAACAATGAAAGTGATGGCATGCACGCTTAAGTCGATCAATTACGTCGACTTGATAGTAAAGGAGCCCATTTTTAGTCTGCAAAAAAAACTCCAAAGTTGACTAAATTCAGATACCTTGTAATAATAAAAAATATCTGGTGGTTCTTGTTCCGGTAAAGTTAATTTTCTCATTTACTTCCAGATCACACTATATACTACTCCTCAGTCTCGAGTCAAATTTGATGTACTTTTCCGCCGACATTGACAAGCCTTCCCGAGGTGAATTTTCAGCAGGTGGAGTCTATCGAAATTGGAATTTTCACGTGACAACGACAGACCGATTGAGGACGCGGCATGCCTCATCGACCTCCCCGTTCCTCACGAGGACAGTTCGGGCCAGGAAGCGGGTGTGTCGAGCGAAGGAGCTACTCAGCACCATCCTCGTCCTTATTCGCTCATCACGCGAATCGAGTCAAGCTGACACCATCTGCGGGAAAAGACACAACGCGGACTCCCTAGTGGCACAATTTTCAAGGAATTCCCATCATGTCATGCTTTTCGAGCGAAAGTACTCTAGCCTGAAGAATTCCTATAATTACACCTTTTTTTGTTGTCAGAACTGATACTCCGCAGCCCTCCATCATACCATCTACGGTATGCCTTGTACAACAGTCTTTACCCATATCAAGAAAAAACTTTCACCATCACATGATAGCTGCTTCGTGATGGTATCAACTCAAAATGAAATATTCAAGTAAATAGACATCAATAAAGCAACTATAATGGGATTGGGCTGGCAAGAAAATTGATATTAGTATTAATTTTATCTAAGCTGCAAAATATTACAAATATTAACTGATAAATAGTATCATTATTACGGGTATTTATTAGGGTATTATTCAACCTCTACTTTTTTCAAGAATAGGAAATTTCTAGCTATGCACAAATCCCACCATCCCACAATTAACCCACTATAGTGGGTATACATAGTTTCATTGGTATTCACAATTAATGAGGACTGTCATCCTCGAGGAACCAAAGTGAGGATCCTCTTGTAGATATGATTCTGTCAACCTCACCTTACACCTGTAATTTAAGAGGTTCTTCTTTCTTTCAATTTAAACACTACAGAGAAAAGTGATTCACAGTGACTTCAAGAGTCACCATCACATCAGAGCATGTAACCAGTGAGCTGCACGAAATGAAAACCATGCAATACATTGTATTGCATGGTTGAAAAAGCCTATCAAAATCATCAACACATTCATTTGAACCAGACCAAATGATGAGTTTTAATGGAATAGATGTGACGTACGATATGCAACCACAATTTAAAGGCATTTCCTTCAGTGGCTTCTTTCCCTTTTTCGATATCAAACGTCTTTTGAATATCATAGCCTCAACTTTGCAAAATGAACTTAAAAATTTATTTTTCATGGATCAGTTAATTTTTCATGAAAATAGTTAGACATGAGCAAGATTTATTGATTAAATGTAGGATGTCCTTTTTTTAATGATGCCCTAAACCTTGGTGCAAGCATCAGAAACAGCAGCTCATTGAAACCAAGAACCTTAGTGAGACTACTGTTGTTTTTGTTCAGTTAGCTATCTGAGTGTTGCCAATCAACTTCTGCCAATACCAACAGAAACTAGATTCAAAATCAATGGCTTCACATCCCACAGACACTTTCCTGCAACTTAGAAGGATAGTCAATTCTGAATTTCTGAGTCAAAAATACATGTTAAAAAGTGATTATGAATTTTTTTTCTCTCATGCTGCCATAGCCATCCTCTCTTCTTGTTTCACATCTTGAAGATTCCACAATATAAAAATGGAGATATGGAGGATTTTGAACCCTCTACCTCATGTTTTCCATGGGTCATCTTTATTTTACAAAATGAATCTAATCACAGAATGGGATGAAGGAGTGGGAAGGCCTTGTGAAATCGCCCCAAGGAGGCTTTGGAGATGATCACCTTCAAGCATGTCTTCTGGGAATCTTCAGGATTTAAGAACTCTTCTGTCACTGTGCAGTACTTGTACAGCCACCTGATGATCATCAGAGGACCAAACAATCATTTGGAGGTGAACTCTCATTTGCCAAACAACATGTCACAAGCAAGGACATGCTAATGATGCAGTCCAATAATGGTTCCATCTCTGGTAACCCCTGGTAAATCTGGATTTGTGTCTTTACCATTTATTTATTTTTTAAATTATCAATGATGGCCTCACACAATGTAAAATGTAAAATTGTTCATGTAAAGCTTATTCTAAGACTAGGATAATATAAAATACATCATCCTTTGCTATGATTGTGAATGCTCCATCTGTATCTCAGAGTGGAATGGTAAGGGTTTTTCATCATCAAGGATATATAGAGAAAGCATGTTGTGAAATAGCATCATACCTGGCCTCTTCACCTCCAGCAGGAATAGAGAAATGCAAGACTGCCAGCTCTTTCACCTCCATCAGCCTTTTCTCGATCTCTTCCCTCACCTCCTCCAGTCCTGAGACATGTTTTACAAGAAATTACAATAATATTTTTATCATAGATGCATGCACAAAGTGCTTCATCAATAAAAAAAAATTCACGTAACCAACTTGTGCCATATTGGAATTCAGAGACTTTCCTCTGACTTACAGTGTTTTTTCACTTGAGTTAGACAATTTCTCACTTGACTTGGACACATGTGCATGGGTTGTTCCTTGTGCATGAGTGTCAAAGTCAAGTGAAAAAATGTCTGACTAGTGAAAAACACTAGAAAAAAAAGAAAAAAGTGTGTTGCTATATTTTTGACTTGCACATCTCAGTGTCTATGAGAGAAGTTAAAATTAGACAAGCAAAGTTTCTGTGTTTGGTGAGTTATAAATGTAATTGCAAATCTGCATTGAGCTATTGGCACCACACAATGTAGCTTTCAAGAATGACAAACTCATTGCATCCTAGCAATGTAATTACAAAGACGATGTCAACTTTTATAAAATGCACCATGCAAAATATACATTCATTTGGCTTTTGCCTTGTTCAGAAAAATAAAATTCACCACAGAATCTGACAAGTGTACAGTGACAAATGCATGTCATAACAGAGTGCGTATGACAGCCAAGTTCAAACAAGGATGAGAAAAATTTTAAGATTTGAGGAATCCATTGTACTTAAAAGTAGTGAAAATCATAGCCTTATAATTTTGTCAGCCACTTGTACACTTCTGGTACGATGCCATAAATTTCAATGCCCTGGAATTTTATGACCAGAAAATGAATCACTTCTCATACGTCTTACTTGGCACACTTCCCACTGTCACCATAATATTCCCAGAATACAATGTTTCTATTTTCTGAAAATCTTGCTCTCTTTCTCATTACACTGGATGATGTACACAAAAAGTCCATGATTATCAAACTTCTCACCAGTTGCAGATAGTTCTGAGTGTTATTCTGTGTATCTGCTCAAGATCAGCTGCTAGTAAAAACAATTCTTGAAAATGAATACAGATATTTAAATGCTCTTAAGCTTGATATTTGAGTAGACTTTGATCACATCTCACCTGTCCTATTTATGCATGAAGTTAGGAAGAGCCCATTTTGTGATGCTGTGCTTTTCATTTCTTCCAATTCATTTGGTCCAAGGCAATCAATCTTATTCCCAATTGTGATCATACCATCAAGTTTCTTTCTTTCAGCTGAAAGGCTCTTTGTCAGTGTGTCCAGCACTGTTCTTTCTTGATTTTTGGCATCTGGGTGGCTCATGTCACGCACATGCACTATCACATCCTGGTGATGGGAAAAACATTCATGGTGTCACCAAATTAAACCTACTCTAATCATGGTACAAAAGTTCTTTTCCTTATAACCCACAAAAATGAAATTCACAATTAAGACTCATGAAAGATCTGGAAAATGTCTGCTTTCTACATAGCCTATTTTTGCATCAAGAAAGTACTTTCAGTTCAAGTCCAAGGACTTTGGCAGGCCATGGAATTGGAAAATGACAATGCAAGTAATGCAAAGGGACTGACAGCCATGAGGGCATCTTCCAATGTGGCAGCAAAGGCTTGGATGAGGGCAAGTGGGATATCAGCAATAAAGCCAACAGTGTCCACAAAGAGGGTTGTGAGGCGAGATGGAAGGAGTCCACTATGCATTGTGACATCCAGTGTGGCAAAGAGGTGATCCTTTGGCTCTAAACTCTTCTCCCCAGTAAGGGCCTTGATCAGGGATGTCTTCCCTGTCACAATCAGAATGGGCCATATCAGAGCTGCAATTATAGCAGGTGGGACTGGAACTTCAAAACTTATGATATTGATAATTCAGGCCTGTATCTGAGGCCCCTTGTATTCAATCTAAGACATTCACATTTCTGGCATAACAGGATGCACTTTTGCATTCAAGTGCAAATTTCCAGGGGCAACTAAATTATGATAGGAAAAATTAAAGTCTTCATGGTATTTGCAAGCAGTGAGTGCAGGCATCCAAGAAAAATGTGGAAAGAAAGTGGAGTACTACAATGGTTTACACATAGACTTTAAGCACCTTTAAGGAAGAACCAAACTTTTGATCTTCAATGATGGTGCTTGTCATTAAATATGTACCAATTTGGAAGTTAGCTGATAAGTCTGTAAGAACCCAAAAGAGTAATTAACTGATTATTGGGCTATATATTGAGCAAAATGCTCAATATATATCAATAAGCTTCATCTGCAGGAGCATTCAATTTTTAACCCTTATAGTGCCAGAGCAATGCCAGAGCAGAGCCAATTAGAGCAATGCTACAAATTTCATTGAAAAAGGCCAGTGTCGAAGAGTGGACATGTTTCTAGTCTGAGCGCTCAATTGTGTTCCTTCTCAGACTTTGGACATTTTAGTGCCAGCTCTTCAACTCTGGAATTTTGAAGTGATATTTGTAGCATCGCTGTAAGCAACTCTGGCACTATAAGGGTTAAACAATATCCATCCTATTTGAGACATTCAGAATTTACCAGCATTGGTGTAGCCAACAACAGCAACAGTGGGGACCTGCTCCCGGATGCGACTCATTCGAGTGACCTGTCGGTGCCTCTTCAGGCTTTCGAGGGCATTCTTCAGTTTCCCCTCTCGAATCTCAAGAAGTCTCCTGCGTGTTTCCAGTAATGTCTCCCCTGAGCCCCCAATGGCCCCCACCCCTCCACCCCCACGGTCCAAATCCCCCAATGCTAGGCCATGAAGACGAGATCTGCCCTTTGCAAACCAGGAAGTCCACTGTCAGCTATATAGTTGCAGCTTTATTTGTAAGATATTAAAGCAAGAACTAAAATTATATAAAATTATCTAGAAATAAATAAAAATAAATTATCTAGGAAACTCAAAGATGGCATATTTGTATAATAAAAAAATCCAAAACTAATATACCAGCGGAGGGTCAGGCTCAACTGTATACATTCAAGATCATACTAAATGACAAATCCAACCTTGCCTCTCACTCAATCCTGCATACTCAAAGGAGTGCATCAGCATAAATAAGCCCAGGACAATTCCTGTCCTGTAAGGAAAGCTATCGAAGCTATCTCCCAGAAAGTAATTGCCACAGCGAAGGCAGCTGTGGTCTGTGTATATGAATGCTGCTTGAAAGATGCAAGATATTTTCCTTGAGTGCATGCATGAAATAATAATGCAATAATACTCCTGACATTCAGGAATGGATTTTTTTCATTCAATTTAGCATCATTTTAAAATCTCTACACAACTTTTGATATGCCATGTATTTATTTTACTGATACCAGTTTATTGAAAACATGATGAATTCCTTCATCAGCATAGACAGGATGAAGACAGACCTGAGATAGGGTATTTCAGCAAGTGCAACCTGGAGCTTGGCAACTTGTGATTGTGCATGCTGCTGGAAAATCTGAAGGACCACGTTGTACCGGTCATACACTGGCACTTTGAACCCCTCTTCCAGCTGCCTGTATATGAGGTTGAGATAGATAAAGAACAATTTTTTTCCCATCAATTCTTTGTCACCTAAATCTAAATGGGCTTAGATCTACAATAAATATGCAGCATATTTTGAAGTGCCTTCTCACACCAATTTCACAAATTGAAAAAGCAGCATTATGAAGAGAAAGTCTTTCCTTGGTTCATATTTGGAAATAACTTTTCTTGAAATGGTAAGGAGAAGTGGAACTGAGTATACCAGAATAAGGCAGGTAGAGATAAAACTCATGGGATATTATGCTTTGGACTGAGCTGATTGATATATTCTTTGAAGATCAGAAATGCCATTCCAAGAAGGAAATGGTAAGCACATATAGTCTCCATAGAAGTAGTGATACCTTTTTTGTGACCTTTCAAAATAACAAAGGAAGGATTATTATCAAAGGATTATTACAAAGGAAGCAGTTTCAATCTTCAGTTCATGCATTTGTCAGAAGTGTATGAAGCTAGGTATTGATTTATTGCCCTCATTTTACAGATCATGGTGTTAGAATTTCGAATCAGTTCATGTCACCTATGGGTCAGACGGAGACAAATATCCTGAATATCAAATATCACTAATTGCTCAAACATGCAAAGGTATCATGTACTTAAATGTTCTTAAGCAGGAATATTTGCAAAATGCATTTATGCTCACAGAGGTGCACTTTTAGTGGATCTGCTTCAATACTAATGGGAAAAATAATTTTTGCAGGAATAAGTAGATGTCTTGACATAAAGGTACAACTGAAGAAACTTAGGCAAAATTTCTCTTATTATTTCTCTAATCATGCCATTCACATGGCTAAATAGCCAATTGATTGAATAAACTGATTAAAACAGGATGTATTGTGTCTGGTACATTCTCATATTTAGGGGGTTGACACGAAAATCCTCATTGAAAGCTCCCAAAATAAGAATTTTAAGAAAGATTATGCAAATAGAAGATGGGCCAAAGAAATTCACTTTTTAATATCATTGCTACATCCAAACACTAATAAAGACAAGCTCATCCAATTTCACAGATAGTACCATTTGTCCTTGATCTAATCCACCATAAAAAAAAGGCTTCAAATAGTACCTGCACAATCTTTTTTTTTCTTACAGTGGCGGTAGTCACAGTTGTGCATGCATTATAGAATAAACATGCAAGAATAAATATCTTTAACCCTTTCACAAATGAATTTTTTGAGCAAAAGAGAAATATGCCTTTTTGGTTTAATGTTTAAGGAGGTACTCTGCTGTAGTAGTCACATGTTTCACCACTAGAAAGCAACACTGAAGAGATTATGGCCCCTGGAGTTGACTGCATGCACCAAAAGTTTGGAGGTATGTGTACCATGACTAAAAACAGGAAGTAGAGTAGGAGAAGGATATTATTTGAATTATTTTACTCCCATGGGTGCCTGGACTTCATCCATAATGTATGGATGAATGAGTGATAAAACACAAAAACTTTAGCACATAAATTTGTTCCATGATCATGACAGGCCAAGTTAGAATCAGTAGGTGGAATGCAGACAGAAAGGGGTTTCATACTAACATACTAATTCAGTAAGGGTGCTGAAAAGTGAAAAATGAAAAAATTTGAGTACCTTTGCTGATAAGGTGTCAGGATATTGACACTAAGGAAGACAGCAGAAATGATTTTGGAAGAGGCCACCTGTTCACAAAGTTCCTCAAACTTCCCTGTGCCAAAAACCATCCTCCTTCGTCTCATTTCCTCGGTTATGGGAACCTTTATCTACTGATGGAGAACCAAGAATTTGAACATGACCATGACATGGATTTTAGTATAATTTCCCACAGAGAAAAATTAGCAGTAGGGTACTCCTCCATGAATGACTTGAATCATAACACCTAATGAATTGAATTGAGATACTCCACTTTATGGGGGGAAGAAGTTTAGCAAAATAGTTCCAATTTTTTTGTTTTTACTGCTTAGCATAATTTCGGATCTTTCATTTCCAACTTGCCAGGGGGAACTTGAGATGGAGAAGTACCCAGGAAAAAAAGGAAACAGGAAAATTTGAAATATATATATTTTTCAATGGTTGCTCTCATGAGGTGCATTCATTCAACATATGATCAAAATGAAAGAGATGAAATAGAAATTTGTGGAACCTAGTTGCTGAGGATGCTAAGAATCCAGGCAACACAGGCATGGCTAGGCTAAAAAAAACTTACTCAGCAATACTAGAAATTCTCTTTTCTACATAATGGATCACTGCCTCACATGATTACTAGAAGTGCAATATATTATAAATGAACAACTCAAAATTCAGGAAATACATGCAAAATTCAAGACAGCAACAAGTGTGTCCACTAAGCAAAGGTGGTTGATGTGCTACTAATCCTTTCAGAAAAAATGCAACTTTTAGGATGAAAAAAGCTGACATAACCCTTGCTGGTTATGTTCCTAAAATTAAGTGGATTTTATGCAAGTATCATGCAGGAAAAGTTAAATCCCACAGTCATTTTCTTATTGGAATCTATAGGCAAAAAAATTTGGTTTGTCAAGAATGAAAAAAGAACTTCACACAAATGAACTTATAGAGATTGATCACACAATGGTTGATCTCAAGAGGAGTAAGGATGAGAGATGTCTCACCCTGTCAACAACTTTCCATCGTGGGAGGGTCTGGATGAGGGAGCATGCCTCTTCCAGCATGAGATCCGGAGTTGTGGACATCTTGCGGTTTGGCCCCCATTTCACATATGGCTGAATCACTGCCACCTGATGACCCAGCCCAGGGATCCTCAGCATTTGCCTGTTTAATGATCAATTACAGGAAGCCGGGTTATGTAATAATACATGTAAGCAAAACTCCTAAGACTGGGGTCCATTAGGAGCAACAATGTATCAGATACTGCTCTATTCCACAGTTGCATTTAATCCATTAACTCCTTCAATATTTGTATGAGTCATCACTTGGCTATTAGATAGACTGACAGGAAAAACACAGCACCAAGTGAACAACACACGCACATTGCAATGGTCTTACTCTGCCTTCTTTGAGCTTTGAACTCACCATATTTGCATGTTTTGTTTTCCAAAACAGAAATACCAGATATAAAAAAACAGTCATGGCCTTGGTCCAGAGGGCCAGCACATGGGCAAATAAGCAGCTAATTTACTTGAGTAAATATAGATCCTAGTAAGTTGCATTTGAAAATGCAAGCAAACTCAATTCCTCTGATTGCAAGGCAATAGAAAGGGACTCGCCTTGAGAAGTCTTCATGCTCCTTATCCCACTCAAACAAGTCAGCAGAGTAGTTCTTGTCCTTCCCCGTCTCAAACGTATAGTCCGTTGAGAAAGGTCGAAAGCGAATGCTAAGGCAGATGAACCCTCTCCTAGCAGGGCCTAACCATGCCATCTGATCACATCAATAAGCATCAGAACATAATCCATCCCAACATTTAATGGTGTCATCCCATTCTCCAATAGCAAAAGGTATCCATCCACATTTCCTTAAAGAGCTGTAAATAGGCTAGATACCATTAGGAAAATCATTCATTGATAGCAGCACTTGCCTCTGGCACAGCCTGGGCTGCCTCCCAGCTTTGCTTAATGCATTGATGCAAAAGTGTCCTCAAGTGTGAAACTATATATGCTATTATATAATCCACTTTACATGTAACAAGATGGGATGAAGGGAAAAACCAAAGATGGCATCTCGAATCATCTTTATTCAACAAGTTTTGTATAAAAAATCTGGGCAGGTGCAAAAAGGACCAAAAATGACACTCCATATTTGGATAAGAGCATTCATTGGAAAACAGTGACAAAGAAAATAGGCATAGAAAGACACACTGTACAAGAGGGGAATGGGCCTGCTGGTAATGAAGCTAACAGGATATTGAAGACGATCACAGACCAACACTACTCAGGAGACCACATATGGCCACCTCTGTCGAACACAACACGATCACTTCTTGTCCTTCATGGAGAATGAAAAATAAACCAAAATGGAGATACAAAACAGACAGTTCCTCCATGAAAGGGATGGGGAGGAGAGAAAGAGGTATAATATTGAAGAAAGAGCACTCTGAAAGGCAAGAAATCAAAGTACAAACACCTCCTCCAAGTTCTCAAGCGGTAATATGACATTGAAAATTAAACCTTCAGAAAAGTTATATATTGGATAAATGATTTTCATTGATTTTGTTTAATTTTCAAGTAAGTTTAATGAGACCTTTCCATGAATATGACATGTCAGAATTATGTTATTCATATGCCAGCAAAAATTATCCAACAATTAACATCACAGCATATCAAATAACTTTGTGATATGCATGTTACTTAAGAAAAAATTTAAATTCCAGATGAATGGCCATCAGGCGACCACATAGAGATTATTATTGGCCTCTGCAAAATAATGTCAAGGATCTTCATGATTCTGCCAAGTTCCCTCATTTTTTCTTGTCACTATGGAAAAACTTTCATAACCTAAAATGTATTCCTATTGCGATAAAGGTTATCCCTGTAATTATGACTAGAATAGGGAGCAAGCACAATGATGAATTGAATTAGGCAACCTGCAATTAGGCAATGAATCTTTGTGAGTCAGGTGGCCAACAATGGATCATTCTGTCAACCCAACTGACTAATAATGAATTTCCGTACATTGGGGACAAATCCAGTTAGCCCAACCTGAGGCTGACTTCACATGTTACCTTGTCTTTTATAGCTGAGCACAAAGGGATGAATATTCTCCATATTGTGAATAATTAAGAGCCAGGGCAGATATTTGAACCAAGAAAGGAACAGGGCAATTCATCAATCAGGGTCTTGCAATGTGAATAAAAGATCAGAACTAAAGAAAGTTTAAGAGAAGGCATGGAAGAGGCAGTCTAAGCTCAATGATCTTAGGCATCGCACGAAATTCAGAATTGTTCCAGATTTTCAGATAATTGGATCTGGGCCACAGATCTATCAGCCACAACCATAAATGCCTCCCATTTATAAAAATATGGGCAACAGGAACAAAATCCTTATAAAAATATGCCTTGAACAGACAAACATGGCTGTAGGAGTGGAGAATTCTCATTGATAACAAGAGACAGTTTTGCCATATTAAATTAAAGTTCTAACAATTAGCAAATAAGTATCTGCACTTAGAAGAGGCATGGGGCACTGTGCATTATGCAAAACAACACCAGGTATTCAAAATAACAGGATACAAGGTAATGTAAGATCAGGATACACTAGAAATAAATCACCCCAGGGAGGAAGGGCAGGAAAAGGAAACATAGAAACTTGCTTATCATCTTCAATAGATTTTCAAAACATCTCAATGGGATATGATATCACAGGACCAGGACAGACCCTGCTGCAGGAGTAAGGATGTGAATGTGAATCAATGATGAAAATGGGAGAGGAAAGAAGGACTGGCATCCTCAGTTATGAAAGACCTTTCTCTCCCAATCCCCAGCACATGGGGTCGTCATAACAAGATGCACTGGAAAAGGAGAAAGAAACAGATTTCAATCAATACCTATCAGGTGTACTTAGTTACAGGTGCTGCATTTCCTAGACAAGTCTAGACACTTCATTATGGAAGTTTCACATTCACAAGCATTTGCTAACAAAAGGGTTCTGGGGAAAACAGGGCATATAGGGAGCCTGATGGTAGGCAATGAGGCAAATAGGACTAGCCAACTTATCAGCCAATACCTGCCACAACTGTTTGCTCAGCTCATATTTCAAGTTTGTGTTTCTCAAACTACAGGTTGCTATTTAACCCTGTCTCAGTTAATAAAAACCTTCTTGCTTGGGCTGAGTGGTGGGGGTTGGGGAAGGAGAAGGAAAAAAAGGAGGTTTTTCTTAAATGAAACAGGGTTAAAAGTAGCAGCACTTTTTAGCTGTACTTCATGAAATAGTTTATGATTTTTGTACTACAAAGGTATGCCATATAGCAGTAATTGCAGTAGAGTGAGCAATAGAAAATAAATCGATTAAGAAACTCACACTCCTTTTCCCCTCCTTGCCCTGAGAGGTTTTCGATGGTGACTGAGTGGCAGGTCGAGATGCCTTCTCCATCTCCTCTGCCTGGAGCTGCCTTGCCAGCATCTCACTAGCAGAATACCAATATCCATGTTCATGGAGTGGCAAGTGGCATGTCAAGCATCAACCTTCCTACCATCAACCTAATGGCTTTGATTACCTTATAATCTCCATTACTTTTCTGGGATGTTCTCCCTTAATAACATAATAGCTCTGAAACCATCATGACTTGGATGAAAACTTTGAAAAGGAAAACCATATAATAATGCATGCATATTGCAAAAAAAGCTAAGCCAGATTTGCTATTTGCAATTGATTCCAATTGGATGGTATCCTCAGATGTAGCATAATGCTGTTACAGGAGCAAACAGAAAGGCAAATAACTATATGGATGCATTATTATATGAATAAATCTAAGACCAAGCAAATTTAGTGTTTAACTTTTGCCATGCACTGGACCAGATATACTCTACATGGAGCAATGTTACTGTTGAGCAAGTTCTGAAGAATTGACCATTCCCAAATGCTCAATTTTAGAACCAAGGGTGGTCTAATCAGCAAATACCCCCATACAATATAGGTGGATTATCAATGCAAAGACAACATTGTAGTCAATGAGAAGAACTAGAGAAACTCACTCAGAGGCATCCTCTGGGAGTCCCAACTTTTGAGTGTATTCTCTCCATTCCTCCTCCTTTTGAGTACTTTTTGACTGGTCCTCCATCAAGGACATGGCCAGCAGGTAGCTGCCACATGATAAAAATGCTTAATCAACTCCCACCAATGTATGCAAGTGCTGCCATCTTATGGCATTCTTTATCTTTTAGTCCTTGTATAAGCCTCTGCCATCAGTAATGTTTTTCATCAGGAGACCTAATAACTTTTGAAGAAGGCAAGATTAGAGAATCAAACTTTATCGATCAGCACATTTTGTAGAACTGTTACAAATTATCAATGCATTGCCATCATCAAAGGTGGTTGATAGCATCTTATCATCCATGCATTATTCTCTATTGGTATACCAAGAAGGGGAGTACCAGAACACAGGGGTGATTACAATATATGGGGATGAATTGCATACCAGTCTAGATGTTTTAGGGAGACATTACCTCCAAAATAAGGGCATGAAGAAGTAGTTACATTCCCCACCTTTTCATTAACAGTGAAGAATTGGCTGTGTGCATTGACAATGATGGGGAAGGGTATTTTAAAGTTATTCACCATTTGTGAATAACAAAGCAAATGCATTGTTATTTTCAGAACTGCCATTGTGACAGTTTTGGTACAGAGGCATTAAATAATAAACCAAAAACAACTAACTCAGTAAAAAAAAAAATAATAATAATAATAATAATAACAATAAAAAGGAACTTTTGTTTTGTTTTGGCAATGAATAAGTCAAGAATTAATGGACCAGCTTGGAACACAAATGAGTCATGTCAGAGTTAAGAAAGCATTCATTATCAGAGTTGACCAAGCAGGATAATTTAAAATATGCACTCACTCATGGTTGATCTGCTGTTCAGTATTTGGGGGGATGGGAGGAGGGGGGATAGGGCAGTGGTCCTTCAGATGCACTGTATGGAACCCACCATCCACAAACACACCATCTCCCTCAATGTTTGAAAGTGTCTCCCACACAATCTTCCCCTCCCCAAGGAAACCTTGGTCTGTCACCAACTGGAACAACTCCCCCTAATTCCCAGGAATGAGCCACAACATCAGAATCTGCTTTTGCATAAAAGATTCACCATCCAAGCTAGCAGTGGACATACAATTATTAAATTTACAGGGTAAATTTAGAATTGAATACATAATTCAGAAATAAAACCTGTTTGGCTTTACCATCACTTGCATCTGCTACTGAAGGGGGAGCTAACATTTTGTGGCACCCTTTACATATTATTATTAACTGACTATCATTTGTGCAAGACATGAGACAGGGGGAATCATTCTGAACATGCTTTCAAACATCAGCCCTCATCCTCATTATAAGGGAAAAGGATAATTTATGTGAATGGAGCATTAGGGGAGAGAGAATGCAAGAGTGTGCTTTTCTGTGTTCAGGATGAATATCCAAATTATCCACATTCTCTGCATATCAGATGCAAGATTCAAGTAGAGTTTTCCTACTAGATATATCTAAGTGCTGTATCTCATACAGCTGGTGAGACATAATGTGTAGAATTAATCCCTTTTTCAGACAGGGAAATAAAAGCCCCCAAAAAACAGTTTCCATAGTCAGAGCTATAACTTTGTGATCCCAAGGCAAGGAGAGAAGCTTACTCGGTGTTTGTATACAGTTGAGAAATGGTTGTTCCGGAAGAGGACAGCCAATTCGTCATCCTTCAATGTGCTGGCAAGTTCACAAAGGCCATGGTAGGTCAGTTGCCAACTTGTAGTTTCCAAGAAATTCTCTGCAAGCAAGGCTGCAACAAACATTTTTTCACACTTTCTCATCAGTCCTTCCTTGATCCTATTTAGCCATGACACTGAATAGCTTGTTAGTCTCAGAAGTGTATGGATTTCTATGAAAAGTCTTAAACCTACTCACAGAATGTGAAAATAAATTAATCTGGCAAAATTTCAATGAAAATGCTTAAAAATTAATAATTTCTTTTGTAAGAGAGTCCCTTGACACAACTGCAACTTGCTAGGTCAGAAAACCACAATATCTATCAATCTCAGATTATGATCTAAAAAATGTAAGATTATTTCAAGTGACAGGGCTTGCATTTACGCGCAGATGTGTGTCCTATACGCACAAAATTCCGAAGGGACGCACAACAGAAAAACATTAGGGTCCCAGGGACACACGGGAAAGTTCTAGATTTTCTGATTGGTTTTCAGACCAGTTGGCAGTTGCCTCTTTGAATCATGCCTAAATAAACCTGTGTGCAACCTTATTAGTGACAGGAAGGGGGGGGGGGAGGAGTCCTTGCTGAGGAAGGTGTGCGACGTGAAAGTGATGAGAGTGGCGCATGTTGCATTATGTTCACACGCTCATGACGTATTTCCGTTCGTTTCAATTAAGACTTAAGAATTAAGTTTTCAATTTTAATTAAGGGTGGTTTGGGCCAACACTCCTCTCGTTCAGTTACAAGCGGAAAATGTACGATGTTAGTTTATTCGAATCACACCTTGGCATACATTCAGAAGTTCCTGAGCATGGGCCTAGTGACACATAAAGAAAGGTATCAACAGCGTATGTATAAATTCTAAACGAAGGTGATGTCATCGTTCCACTTAGGTTGCAGAGAGAAGGGAAGATTGCCATAGGCTTTGTCCTAGTCAAACTGAAGGGAAAGAGATGGACGTGGATGATTATGAAAATGGGCAGCTTGTGAACCATGAATCACAACAAAGGAAAAAATATTTTAAAATGGAAAAAGGTGTGGGTCAATATGCATTCCTGGCTTTCCTATAGAGATGAAAGAGCTTCCTATCATTTCTGCTCAAATGCAAATAAGAAAAATCTCTACTCAGCATCTGGCAGTCGTAATATGCAGAAGTTTGTAATTTGCAAATTTGAAGATGCCCTAGGTATATTTGTCAAAGAGAAAATGTTGGAAGTAGTCCTAAGGCTGCTGGATTGAATATCATGCTTTTTGTCATGTTAACTCAAAGAAAAAACATTGACTGTGGGATTTGGAACTCTTTGTGCAACTTTGCGAGATTTCATCACGCTTCAATTGCAATGAGACCCCCAAATTTTTCTGAGTGACCCTTTCTTATCAGACTTGAGAGTCCTGGGGCAAGGTAAGAAAATTAGCGCAAGCCCTGAGTGAGCCATATAAAAATCAACTGACAAACCCTTACCATGTGAATGACAATAGTTTACCCAAAGGGGTAAATCTTCATCAGGAGCAAGTACAGCTGAACAGTAAGGAACATGGGTTCAAGGTTAACTAAGCTGGGTGCTTAATTTGAGTGGAAACCCTGGCATGTTTGAGAAGGGTCCTAGAGAAAGGGTTCTTTGTGTACAACACCCATGTCTCCAGATGTGGCATGAAAAGAACCTAGGTGGTGAGGGCTGAATCCAGGTATCTCATCACCAGAGTAACCATGCAAGCCCTATTTGAGGCACCTTCTTATATTTAGGATAGTTGCTTATTGGGGATCAAAGGTTTTGAGGTTAGACAAGGTCACAGAAAAGAGGTTTACATGGAGTTACCAGGAGGTGACAGATGAGGGTTTCAGCAGGAGGGCATGCATGGGCTAAATCATGCATGAATTGATCACCTATAGTCATGAGCCTAAACTAACAAACTCTAAACAGAGACAAAGTTCATGAAAATAGAAGCATTCCAGCTTACACACCAAAGAGCACAAATATGGACACAAAACATGTGAACTTCCAAACCTCAAACAAACATATTCAATACTTTAGTGTTGGTTTCACGTTCAAGTTTTCAATGCTATTCTGCCACCCTATCAAATATTGGGATGACGATGATGATACCTTTGGTTACAACCTCAGAATCAAGTGAGGTCTTTTGTGTGATAATCTGATCCACCAGTTGATTATAAGATGCAGATCCAATGACTTCGGCCTCTGGTGTGTTAGGGTGCACCAGCCAGCCATGGTAGAGAGGAATTTGCAAGAGATCAAATATGATGCATTCCGGAGTGTACTCAAAGTGACGAACCCTGAAACATTAAAATATGGAGTAGAATCACTTTTTAATGTAAACCAAAGTGCCACTATATTATACTCAGTCCTGTACTGCACTAGTTGCAGACAAAGTCAGGAAAAATCAGAATCCATGAAAATAGCTATAAAATGATCTATTACCGTTTTTCTCATTCATATGCACTCTAGCCTACAATACATATACTATCAGTACCAAAAAAATGCAGAAAATCCTAAAACCATTCCTGACAATCAGAATTTGGAGGTGGAGCAAATCATGTGATCTGCAAGAAAAATAAGTTATCAGGATCAGATTCAGGTACAGATAGGTGCATCTATATATAAATAGAAATAGAAGTATAAATTAATGACTGTGTGGACAACTTTATAATTTATCATTATGCATATTTTACCATTATGGACCAAGAACATTTTCAGGAAGCAAGCATAAAACCACATTCTAAGAGATTAGAAATTAGAAGTAAAAAATGTACTTAGTGCTCTGATTTGCTTTAAGAATAATTTATTATGATAAAAATCCATTGAAGGACCTCTTGTCATTCAGGAAACTGCCATTGACAGATGGACTTATTTTGCTTCCCACAAGCAGACTCTATTTTGAGAAATCTAAGTCCTGATCAGGGATGACTCACTGCAGAGGCTATTCAGGTATCATCTCACCTTAATTAGGTAAATCTTTTTTGCTTGGGTAGCTGCCAGATGGCTAACTTGCAGCTTATTTACTTCACTGCAGTTTTTGAGCCACAACTCTTGACCTCTTTCTTATATTACAAATCAAGATCTATGTAATTGCACCAATGGTGTGAATTGACACATTTATCTTCCATTATTTGCAAATTTAAATGTTTCACCACAACAAGGAAAAAAAATATGTTAGAGAAAACTTTTCCACATGAACAAGGAATACATGTAAAACACTTAACTGCTCAATATCCAATGGTTTGGCAACTAGAGCACTAACAGACACAAAGTCATACCACAAATGCAGTTTTTGTGACAGTCAATACTCTTCTCATGCATTTAACCTTAGTCTGGCAAGCCTTGAGCTTACATTAGTCCAGCTTGAACAACTATCAGAGCCAGTGCTAAAGGTATTTCTATTTATATAGTGAATGCACAAATATGTGCAAGGTGACAGTTCGCTCAACATGTTGCCTGACATGCATGAAATCTAGTTAACATCAATACATTGAACTTGACAAAGGATTTCTAAGAGAACCCACTTCACTGAGTTGATAATATTCCTATAAAACACATGCAAAAATGAATGTAATTAATTTGATTTGAAGTTTATAACTCAGAGAACAGAAAATTTGGGGCTCTGACTTCCATAACTGCAAGATAATAGTGGGATACTGCAACTATTTCACTCAGTCAAGGGCAGGGGTCAGGAACCTATGGTTCATGAGTAATGGCTAAAAATCATGGTTGCTCCTTACTTTTCTCATGTATCAAAGAATGCACATGACTGTTGCCAACTACTGGAAAAATTTTGTTGTTTTGAAAATTTTTGGCTCACAAGCACTTAGCTCAATCTTAATATGGCTCACATGCCCAAAAAGGTTCCCAACCCCTGGTTTAGGGCAATATGATAAACTATTTTTGGCAAGCACCATGCCTCAAAGAGGGAGAGTTTTCAGAATGAACAACATAAATGACCAAGATGAACAAAAGAATCATTCAGCATTCCACAATGCTGTTTGGATCACCATCTTTTAAAATTTTAGACAGAATATAAGAGGACCAGAGGAGATAAGTAAGAAGTGCCAAACCCAGTGAACTTGATGTTGACATCCAAGCCAGTCATGAGTCGAGGGAGGATTGCCAGGGCATCACTCATATTCTGCTCATAGTCCAACCGATTTCCATGCTCCAGCCTCTGACAAGGACATACAAGTAAATTTAGATAAAAGCATTCAAAATGTGTGATTCCAGACTGTTTTTATGGATTTGCCTACTTTAATTTTTGCCAGCTGAAAATTTAAAACTAAAATTAATAGAATTTCCTTCATCAAAACCAACCTTAGGTATAGTAGAAGGTAGAATGACTGTATCAAAAGTAAATGGTTCAAGCCCAGAAAGTATATTATTTCAAAGTCACACCAAATGCCTTGTTACCTCTCAATGTCTACCAAGTTCATCTCACTCAAAACCCAAAAGGTATTCATGCATCAGAGCTTCAATTCCAAAAGAGGATGTATGCTAAAGATCATCAAACTACAAGACTTATGTGTGAGTGTGCTCATGGAAAGGGAGAAATGATGGACAAGCCAAGAAAATCCAGAGAATTTTCTCCAGGGTATAGAGGAAACTTTTGCATTCAATGGGATTGCATTCTTCCCCAAAACAGTGGTAGAGGTACTCTTTGCAAGATCCATTCCCAAAGTAGCATCTTTGAAGGAATCCTGCCCTAAACTTTAATTGCTAATTTCAGTACATTTCAAGGAAAACCTAATGCTCTCATTTAAAGTAATAAGGAAGCACTATTCATAGATTTTCCCACATGCCTTCTGTCCTAAAATGCCTCCCCCCCCCATCTTGAGTCACCCAGTCTGATTACTTATGTTCTTGAATGCAGAAGACTTTCCTGTAAATCCTGAAGAAAGTTAAAATAGAGCCATAAGTCTGGCTTTGCTGTCCTTAATGCCTCTTTCTCCATTCCAAGAGAACATTAGCATCTGAACATCACATCTTCCACAGCAATATCTTCATATTTCAATGCAAAGATCACCCACAGCCAATCACAAGAACTATCAGTATTCAGAATATTGGCTGATATCCAGTACAGCAGCTGATTTCTGAAGTGAGATATAACATCAGCCAGGACACCACTAGACCCAAATAAAAGCATAAAAACTGTAATAGAAAGTGTCTAGGGCAAGTAGATAAGCCAAGAATTGCTATTATTAATCCATCAGTCAACCTTCATTAATAACATTTCTAAAGGATGGCTTAACCCTTTTGCACTATTGTCTTTTTCATAATGCTATGACAAATGTCATTGATCCGACAGGAGATCACAAAGGGTTAACAATCTTTGACTCATAAGCTGTTTTCTGCTTATGATAAGTCAAAATAAGACTCTCAGACTCTAACAATTTAAAAGAAAAAAATTGTTGGACTTTGTTATTAAAAATGTTGGTGGAATAAAAGGGTATCTATAGGGATATACCACCAACAGGTCATTTGTAGCCCCTGTACTGTAGAAATGAGTAGATATTTTGATGCTTGGCCTAAACTGCTGAATGAAATCTCCACCAGTCTCAGATTGCCAATTAACAAAAGAACTAATGGGTCAATCTTGTACACATTACTTTAGGTGAAATGGAAACTATGATCATGTTGAACCACTGCAGAATCTATTGACAATTCTGCAATGTGAATGATGCCGGACTGACAGATCTGTGTGATGAACAAAGGGATAACACATTAGGAATGAACTCTTACTTCTGGGACACGTTCAATGATGGCATTCCCAATCATATCCATGAGCTGAGAGGCAGCAATGACTTTTGAATTAGAGTTCAATGTGAGCACCTTCCACAAGAAGAGAACATTGGCAATGGCCACAAGTGGACAAGGGCCATTCTCATTCTGTGTCACAACAGGAACTTTTGAGTCTTGCCAATCTATCCACTTCACATCATGGGCACTCTGTGGACTTCCAGGCTCTTTGGGTATGGATGAATTCACTTTTGCTGGTTCACAAGATACGGTAGATGTCAAGGTCATCTGGTCGCTTATCTTTGCATTTGGAGTTTTAACTGCATTTCCCTGCTGTTCTGAATCATCAGGGCTCACTGCAGCACCTCCTTCTTCTTTACTCTGAGAACCACTTGACTCAATTAGCTCAGGAGCATTTTTCTCAGCCTGATCTTGTGTCTGGTGATCATGTGGTCCCTTCTCTTCATCAGACATAATGGATCTACCAGTACCTTATGTCCTGCAATGAGACATTCAATGTCATTTACCCATGTCCAATCTTTCTCACCTCTGCAAGTTGGAAATGTTTATCTTATCTATGCTAAGCATGGACATATGCCTACTTTTTCAAACTTGGTGCCAGTGTTCTAGGGAAACAACTGTATTTCAAGGAGCATTCTGAACACCTTCCAATTATTTTATTATTTTAACCTAGGGATGGGTTACAGACCAATCAATATGGTGATAAACTTCTCATTGGCCTTGTCAATATGTTAATGACCATATTGACATGCAAATAACCCATCCCAACTTCAGTCAAATATGAGTCATGCCAAACAGATGATAATTGATTTGCTTTTCAACTTTAAATCCTTCAAATTCGCACAAAATAGATGAAATATATATTTTAAACTTTTATTAAATGTAACAACACTTGAATATGCCATCTGAAGAGATTTATTCTATTCCCATCCTAATAAATGAAAAAGTAATTGAAGTTATGGCCAGGACTTAAGAAACAAGAGCAGGTAAGAGGATGGTTGCTGAACCTTATTCTAGAACTAATACTAATATAGTAATATTCTGGAGTGTTTCACAAATTCATGCCAATGCTTCCACTGTGCAATTTTATTTCCATGGTGTACCAAAAAGAGGTGAGGGTAGGATAGGAGAAACAAATTCCAATCCCTTCACGTTCAAAATCACTCACCTACATTTTAAAATTAATACTTTTTGGATCTATGACATTCAAGAGGAAAATGCACACACAATCCATTCACATTTTGAGACCAGACATTGGTCTAATTCTGTTGAAAAACTCTCTTTGGATTTCTTATCTATACATTAAATTATGTAACATGAGGGACAGACTTAACATAAGGGTCAGAATTAATCTAACCTACCCTATATTTTCTATTATATAAATTACATTAGGTATGTTAAAGGTCGAACAAATTCAATTGCAAAAACATGGGTTTGAACTGTGACATGGCTATTGCTGGCAATAAGAGTGTCCAATGAAGCCCTCCCCTATGGAATGTCTGACAGAGAGTGCATGCATGTAAGCATGGGACTATATAAAGGGCCCTGATCACTGTCATTAGGTTTGGGAAGGTATCTGAAAAGCTCCCACATGCAAAAAAGGTGCACCATCTGGCCTAACAATGGTTTCATATCTACTTTAGCATCCAGTTCATCTCCAATAATCAGAAACAGTAAACAAACTCTGGCTAACCTGGCCAGGCAATATTGCTATCCCTTTTAAGGCTATGTGCAATGAAACTTTTGCTGAAGTTTCACAGCACAGTGCCTTAAAAGGGATCATCTTATGACAAGTCCATGGATTTTTAGGAGATAAAACTCATTGAATTGAAACTGAAACAAGTCCCAGGTGGTACATAATTAAATAAATGTAAACCAACGTTAAAACTACTCTCACTCCAAATACTGAAGGTGAGACTACGCCTGAACTGTAACGTAACCAGAACTCAATGAACTACGAACTCCAATAAAAGGACGAGACTCCACACTAGAAATTGGAATCACATGATGTCCACTTCATTTTATCGAGAGCCATGGTGTCCGCATTGCATGGTTTGCTGTCACTGGTATAGTAGGCCAACCATAGCACTTTTCGGCATGGGCCTCACCACTAAAATGGCAAGGTCCATGCCTACGACAATCCATTCCATGCGGTTGGGCCATCTTCCTACCATAAGTTGCTACTTCTACCCCTGAGGCCATTGCCGAGGTATTTCTAGTTCTTTCCGTGCGACGCTGTATGGTAATATGCTTCAAGTATTAAAGTAATTTCCATTCCTCTCCACCTCTAGGTTAGGAATAATGAGCGGCCTTCAAGTCGTCATGAGAGCATCCACGTTGCTACATAAATTCAGCATGGCCCCCTTCATAGGGCATGTGACTTTCAGATGGTGTGCGGCCCAGGAAATACCTGTCTACCGGGTTTCCAATCTGGGCGGCTACGTCGGACTTAAACCTGCAATTACAGATAACGGAGCCACACATGAATGTTGAATCGCACCAAATGGAGGTTCTTCCACTGCTGGATTTGCTTAACTATGGCTATTTGTTAAATCCTAGACTTGCAGGCTTTGTCGTGAACGCGAAGAAGCAAACTTTTGCATATAACTTCAATATGATGAATATCTTATATGAAAGAGTTAGCTACAGGCTATTTCCAGAGCAGTACCTATATCCCTTCGTATATCCAGGGCAAGTCCCTCCCCCTCCCCCCATGCCTGGATTATTCAGGACTATTTTCATTTTCAACGGCCAAACTTGATCTGCATTAAACTCAGTTGAAGTGAATGAAAAAAAAGCAATGGTGCAAGGCGAGGTTAATCATGTAATGCTTGGCATAGGTTCTAGTTATAGGCCATTTGTCTGCCAGTTCTTGCACTCAATGGAGGAGTAAGGAGTTGGGTTGCGAAGTAAATAGTGACCGTGCTACCCTGGATGTAATTGTATCATGAGCTGCAGATACTACTCTCTTCACATCCCCTCTGTTTGCACCTCCCATGAGAGCAAGAGCTTGCTGTCCAATGCCTTACAGCTTGGATGCCGTTATTAAATGTTGATTTAATCCCAGGTTTTCAGGTTTGGTTTCCAGGCATTTGATCATCATTGTTCAGTCACACCTAGGAAATGATACTGAATACTTGGGCTGGAATGGCTTGAAAGTATGCTATTGAAGATGAACTGAGAACTTTAGGATTATCAGATATTGCCCCTTTTCCAATGCTTATTTCCATAGACCCGGTATTAGACAGATGCAAGTGCTGACGATGTATGCCAGCTGGCTCAGAAATTTGTACACTCCAGTTGCATGGAGAGTGTTTTGCTCAAAGACCCCCCAGAATTACTATTTGGGTGCAGCAAAAGTACACCATTGCTTTGTGTCTCAACATGCAGTTGTTAGAAACAAGGAATATCTCAGTGGACCACCTGATGAGAAGGAAGGCTTCAAAATGGCCTACAAGAACCCCTACATAGTGTACATTCGTGGTGTGTGTCGCCTGAAATTATACCAGACCTCCCTCACTCTCTTCCTCCTCCCATGCATTTCCGTTGGAGTTCAGACTGGTGTTGTTGCCACTCATAGTCTTTATGCTTCATTATTTGCGAGCGCTGTTGCTCTGGGGATGTTATACTGGATCGGAGAGGTATGCCGGAGAGTCATCGGGATCATCTATGTAAACCCAGAGAAGAAACTTGTGAGAATTGCACACTTGACATTTATGGGTAGACGTGAGGATGAAGTGATTTCTATTAGTGACATTGTTCCCCTCACTGATTCGGGGGATGATCCATCCGACTTCTACTTCAGGATATCTCGGTATTCAACTAAAAAGTATTTCTTAATGAGTCTCAAATTTGGTGGTGTTGTGAATCCAAAGTTGCTGAAATGTGCAGTTGGTGAGTATGAATTTTATAGAGAATAATACATCTTAATTGCCATCACTGAGTTTTATTACATTGATAAACATGTAAGTCATGAAGCTATCACCATGTCTGATGAATTATCTGTTGCAGACGTGTCTTGGGTTGACTTGCCCTGTTTTCAAGAAAGATTCATTAGTATTATTTAAATAATACTATCAGTTTGCTTCTAGCTTACATTGACTTCATGCTTGGTATTGCCATTGTACTCATGCATATTCATGTATAGCTAAGCCTTACATGGTATGGAATAATCCTCCAAAGACATACTTGAAAAAAGAGAGCAACCCTGAAACCAAATATTTCCTTTCCTCTTGTTATTTAAATGACCCTACAGTGAATGCTCCCTTTTACTGAGTAAAATTTTTTTCTATGGGCCTACAAATACCAGTGGAACCAACATTTCCTCTGATCCTACATGTAATATGAACTAGTATTATAAAAAGTTCCTACCATTGAAACTCTAGTGGTGTTAGCAGCTTTACAGGGGTATGTGAACAATGAAAAGTTGATGATTGAATATTGGTATAATACATGCTGATTATCAGCTCTCAGGAAGCGTGCAGAAGATATTACCTCCCTCCCCCCCTTTGGCAAAAGAATCAATATATCTCATTGCTACAGGTGGATAGCATAATTCTGTCATTTAACAAATATGTTACCCTAATCTATACTTGGTCAGTCTCATGCCTTGCAATAGTAGTACCAGTTTCAGGAATAAAGAAGTAAATCATACCTGCATCCCTTGCAATTGGACAAGCAGAACACTCACAGCTTTTCACACCTGGACATAAGAGCTTAAAAACATGAAGGAAAAAATGGTTACCTTGTTGAAAAAAAAAAGAAGCTAAAACTAAACTATATTTTAGATAAAAATTGAAATGCAAGGCTTTTGGGATGCATTTTTGCATGAAGTCCACTCCAGCAGCATCTGTCACAAACTCATCCTTTAAGCTACAACTCACTGTTTTCTTTGAAAAAATTCCTCAAAATTTAGGAACTTTTTGAATGTGAGGCACCAAGAAAGGTTTTTGTTCATCATTTTAACACTAACCCTGCTGTGCACTGCCACCATCCAGGTAGATGTAATCCCATTTCCCTCTGGCATTGTGGACTCTGTATGCATAAGGTCCTGTGGGAAGAGCTTTGGATGGAACCAACATCTTTTGTGCAGTTCCACATCCACCTTTGTTGCAATGGCAACATCTCCCATGATCTCTTGGAGCAACTCTGTCAGTTGCACTTGGTCCCACAGGTGCATTTGTCAGGATTCTCAATCCACTTAGTACTGCTTCAGAGCCACTTGGAGCTGCAGAACCACTGGGAGCTACTGAAGCAATGGGGACTCCAAAGCCAGTTGGAGCTACTAAAACAGTAGTGACTCCAGCATCTCTGTGAGTTGCTGAAGCCATGGAGACTCCAGAGCCACTTGGTGCTCCTGTACCATTTGTGACTTTAGAGCCACTGGGAACTGCTGAACCATTTGGGACTTCAAAGCTTCTTGAAGCTCCTGAACCATTATGGACTTCAGAGCCATTTGGAGCTGCTAAAACAGCAGTGACTCTGTAGCCACTAGAAGCTGCTGATGCAGT